TCATCCTTGTAGCCCTCTGCTGGACTCTCTCCAGTAGCTCTTCATCTTTCTTGAACTGGGGAGCCCAGAACTGGACACAGTACTCTAGATGAGGCCTCACCAGGGCAGTGTAGAGGGGAAGGAGAACCTCCCTCGTCCTGCTGGCCACACTCTTCTTGATGCACCCCAGGATCCCATTGGCTTTCTTGGCAGCCAGGGCACACTGCTGGCTCATGGTTAACCTGTCGTCCACCAGGACACCCAGGTCCCTCTCGGCAGAGCTGCTCTCCAGCAGGTCCACCCCAAGCCTGTACTGGTGCATGGGGTTGTTCCTCCCCAGGTGCAGGACCCTGCCCTTGCCCTTGTTGAACCTCATCAGGTTCCTCTGTGCCCAGCTTTCCAGCCTGTCCAGGTCTCACTGGATGGCAGCACAGCCTGCCGGTGTATCCACCACTCCTCCCAGAGTGCAGTGCCTCCTCCCTCCTCTATTCTCGCAGCCAGCATGGACTCCTGTTCTATGTGTGCTGTCTGGACGCCAGCAGACACGCGAGCGCGTGCTCACACCCGGCCTGGATCAGCCGCGCTCTGCTGGGCCGTGGGGCTGCGTACAGATGACGCTGCCCGTCACAGCGTGCCGCTGCCAGAGCCACGGGACTGGGCATGGCTGGGCTGGAGAGCAGAGGGACGCCCGCACTGAGCTGAAGGGTTCCAGCCCCACAGCCAGCACCTCGCTACCTAAGGCTGGGGCTCGCTGATGGTAAAAGCAAGGAGTAAGCGAGCTGTGGTGAATTCCCAGCTGAGACACGCGCGGGGATCTCTGGCCCAGCAGGGGTGTAGCTCCGTGCCCCTCTCGCTGGTTCCCTTGGAGCAGCCTCAGAAGTTGAGCCCTGGACCAAACCAGGGTGGACACACGCAACCCTTCCGGTCTCGAATCACCCAGACGGCGTGGCATTGAAGAGTCAGGCGTGTTTCTGCTCTACACCTACACACTGAAGGAAGAAAAGGAGGGCATTACTGTCACTGAGCTTCCCACTCCCATTTTTCAGGGACACTCTATGAAAAAAAGAAGTTAGAAAGCAAGTTGTTGCCTGTTACCCCTGTGACAGAAAAAAATTGTCCTAAAGACAGACCGGCACCTTCCCTGTGCAAATCTTTGTGTTTTCTGCTGAATGATGCTTCTATGAGGAAAGGTTGCTCGTACTGAGATTTTCTTTCCAACTGGACTGTATTGAGGTACAAGGTGCAACACACAGGCACTTCTGAACATCCTGCGAAACAGTCACTTTATTGCAAAATTAGTATCATAAAGTAGAAAATTTACATTTTACATAGTTCAGCTCTCGAAAGAAATGTACAAACCATGTTTTATTTGTAGCAGGGACAACACAAGCTACCAACTGAGGTGAAGACTGGCCAGCTGGTTGAGGGGTGCTTAGCTTGCAAAATGTGAGTGAAGAGTCCTTCAGCATTCTTACTATGCAGAGTATTGTTTCAGTTCAAGGACCACACAACATGAAATGCTTCATTACTTTTACCGGGTATATCGTACACCTGTAAGGGTTTTTTGTTTACCTGAGGTTTCTGTTATTTAGGCTGCAAACATTGTAAACAATGAGGTTGGATTCTGGGGTTGACAGATTACAGTATTCTGACCTTCCTCCCAAACAGGCTTTTAAAAACAATAGATAAAGGGGCTAGGTTCTGATAGGCAGAGACCTCATATCTTCCAACCTTTGCAAAATTAATTATCTCTTCAACTTAGAACTGTTTCAAAGCAACGTGAATACAGAGAAGCCACTCCGTGGAGGCATCTTTTGCTTTGAGCTTTTTATACCATTTGCTTATGTGCTTTGGATGCATTCACTTCAAAATCAATATTTACTCCTGATTATTCCATTTAACAATACTTTGAATGAGGAGGGACATGCTTTCTTCTACTCCCAGTGCTGTGTAAGTACAGGGTTTATTTCACCTATTTCCACATCTCACCTTGATTGACCATCCCTGTGAATCTTCTGCATAGCACATTTAAAATCTGACTCGCTCAGATGTCAGTGAAGTGCTGGGAAAATTCCTACTATCAAATGGCAAGGCTGTAGATGACCATGAAAAGTCAAAATGCTTCCCCTAAAAGAAGCAGCCTCAATTTCCCTTAAACTTTTGGAGCAAAGAGGCTTTGCATTTAGAAACACATGGCATCAGCTCTGAGAAAGCTCACTGTAATTTTCTAAAATGAAGTACAAAGGAAAAACTTCATTTCACCATTTCATTTAACATTAAGTTCTGCATTTGGGCAAATGTGATGATTGGTTACTTTAATCACCATTAAACTATAATTTCCGAAACCCTGAAAAAGTGGAGTGAAGTGATATCAAGGGATGCTTTCATGGATCTTTGTTTTAAAACACAAACATTTCATGGCAAGCGTGGTCACAACACAAATTGTGGCTCTGACACTGCCTCACTAAATTGAGTTGCAAAGTCCCAATCTCTGTCTCTCTACCAACATCCCCAACTGCAAAATTCTAATAGTATTTCCTTACTTCAGAGAAGTGCTGTTAAGGATTATTTAGTAAAATATTTGCTCACAGTTCAGAAAATACTAAGCATCAGGTAATACAAATTATGTACTAATTTCTCTTGAGCAGCAGTAAAGCCAGAGTGAAGTGCTTTGTAGGAAATCCTCACGGCGTGCTTCTGTAGTTACTTTTGGATAAGGTAATCTACATAAGAGCATTGGACAGTAAAAGAATCACTCATAGCTTAGCGTCTTCTTTTTAAACTATTACTTGTTAGCTCTGCCAAACATGACACCGATTATTACAAAATCCAACTGAGTGTCAAGTAGCAGTCCCTATACCTCGAAAAAAATTTAGAAGTTCTCTAAGAATTATTTATTGCTACTTCTTGCTTTCCAAGCTTTGGTTGAGAAAACTTGTGCAGAACTCTCCCTGCAGTTAAGGACCATGAAAGAAACTGGTGACAGAAACCATCTGAGGAAATTATTCCTTCCTACAGCTCCAGCTCAGCAAACACTGAGCAAGGGACCATGCCCCTCCTCGTTAAGACAGCATTTAAGCATGTGATTAACTTGCAGAATGTACTCCATTGCCAAAAGCACATGGATAAATGCTGTCATGGAAAAGGATGATAAATAGACATAATTTGTCAGCGTCCCTTAGACACATTATTTGGATTCACTTAACACCTCAGCCAAACCACACAGAGTTCTGTGTCTGTTAGCTAGTGGTGACTGACCTCATGCCACTGACCACTCTAACGGTCTACCCCTCTGCACTATGTGATTATTTTACAATATATGCAAAAGTATCTAAAAAGCACCTCCTTCCTTCCCAAGCCCTCACAAGATGTGGTTGATTAGGAGTCATCCCCCAGTTTTCATTTGGTCATCTTGTGTAAATGCTCTTCTGCATGCTGTCCAGAAAGCGCACATGCTGTCTTGAGAGAGATTGCTCATTTCATAGATGTTGAATACCTCATCACTTCCGGCTTGCAGCACGAAGCTCTTTCTTTGCCAAAGCAGCTAGTCCTTAGGTGCTTTGTGAAGAAGTCTGGGCATCATATTTCCTAAAACTATGATTATGAAAAGATTCCCTGCAATGAAACAGATCCATAAATCAAGCTAGCAAATGAAAAAGCATCCAAGAAATACCTGCCTTGTGAAAAGGAGCAGCTGACAACTCATCAGCTGAAACATGTTATGTGTTGGCATGTCAGAGGCATATTCCTTCTTCCGCCCCCACCCCACACCGGACACAGTGGCTTTGTGAAGAAGCATATACTCCTAAGTAAAGAACTAAGTTAAGACGCTTCTGTCTCAGCCATGGGACTAAACTGGATTATCTTACCTGGGAGTGAAAGGATCCCTCTTACTTCACGCTGGCTAACACCACATGGTGTTCAAAACAAACACATAACTGTTCTATCTCCTTCCAGGCTTCAAATGTTGAAGAAATGGCAAGATGTTTCAAATATATTTTCTTTTGGGTGAGAGGGAAGTCTTCCCTAACAATGCATTAAAATGACATAAATCCCCTACCCCAGGAATGAGCAGCCTGAGAAACACAGTTAATACCACATTCAGCTCCAGTGGAAGTCAAGAGTCTTCTTTAATCAAGTATGAAGCTGGCAGTGCATATTATGGCCTGTTTTTAGCTGCCAGTAAAACGGCCTTTCTTCCTTGAAAAAAAAGCATCTTTTTGTATACCTACAACAGATAACCCTGATCTAACTGTACCTTGTGCTATGGACTTTCACTACAGGTTTGTACAGCTCTGGGATCTTCCTCTCAATCATAGGCCTAAGGTTCTCCTTCAGCTTCCCGTAGTTCTTTCTGAGCTCTTGCTGATATTCTCGCTGGTCAGCAGTAATAAGGCGCTTGTTTTTCTCCACTGCTTCACCACACCTAGGCAAAAGGTAAGCAAAAAAGGCACGATATGTATCACCTACTTCTGTTAAACTCATTAACTTTGTGTTAGGTAAACTGAATGGCCAAGGATCCAGCTCCTCTGGCCTGGGCATTGCTCTGATAACTTGTCAAGCCCCAAATGATAATGAACTAACAAGAAACCTCTGCCTTTTCCAAGTACACAGACTGAGGTGATATTTTTAAGACATCAGAAATGCATGAGGGAGCTAATAAAAACTAAATTTAATGACTGCAGAATCCTGAGCTGTCTGCCTACTTACTGTAAACAGATGCAGCGACAACAGCAGAGAGTAGAGGCTGTATCTTCTGCATAAGGCTCATTTTAATTTAACTCAAATTTATCATTCAGTAATTATGCTTTGTTTGGACTAAGGAGATTAATATCTTGCTATATGAATATGCTTGTTGAGATTTACAAGCATATCTGAAGCAAAGGCCATACGTATTTACCACTACCAGTGCATCTGCTTGACAGACAGGGTCAAATGTTTTCATATGAGCAGCTTCCTACATAAAAATGTCATTTTATTAAAAATAAAATCAAGGCATTAGGCCGAAATGCTTGATTTCTGTAAAACGTCAAAACGATCAAACAAATGGAAGATCTTAATTTCTACATAATTAGTCTGAAGTGTTAGAATTTGCTCGCATTTGGGATGCAAAGCCTACCAAAGCACTGACAAAGAAGCAGAGATGACAAGTCTGGACCAAGTGTGTAAAGCATGAGATGCCAGGATTTATGATACTAACTTGCATAATTAATTACACAGTCATATTATTGTTGCACAATTGCTATTATTTGCTTTATTGATGCAATTCAGCATTTCAATGTTCTTTTACTGACCTCATTATAAACTCTTTGAAGCACAGCCTCAGCTTGTTGTGATGTCGATAAAGTTTGGGGTCCGCAGGAATTTCAGCCAGGAACACTTGCGCTACCTCTAGCGGTCCCTGATGGGAATAACACAAGAAAATTTCCAAACACACCTGCTTAGACTGAAAACAGACCACACCTTTGGTTAAGCTGTTTGTTATTTCATGAGTGGAATAATGAAAGAAAACTACGCATAGCCACCATAACAGGATGGGTTTTTTCTCCTCCTCCCCGCCCCCCCTTTTCCTTTGCAAGCAGAGCTTTTGCCCATCATGTTTTATACTCTTCTGTTTTCATTTCTCCACCCCCACAAAAAAGGGAACACATATATTCTACTCAGCAGAGAAGAGCTGGGACTGCTCTGCTGCAAAACCTGGTTACATGAGAGAAACACAGCTCCTGTGTGTGGAATTAGCAACAGCACGTTACTTCAGACTACAGGCTTTGGTCGACAAAGAATCTGGAGAAACTGAGAGTAGTTAGGCTTTCACAGCACAGAAACCAAGCTATGTGAAATTGTGGATAATAAAAGTTTTCTTTCAGTTATATCTTCATTCTTTCGTTTTGATTTTTTTTTAATTGCCTTTGTTAGCAGGCATGTTTACGTTACAATTATTGCATCTCAACTTTCTTTTGGGGCACTCAGGTCTTGACTTCATGTATTGTCTGTGAAACTGTGAGTCTGTGGTGGTCCCACAGCAGAATTGTTATACTTATTCCCTTTCCCCAAGGATACACCTGGAACAAACCAAATGGCTGAGATGGCTAGTGTGCTAGAAATAGGAAATCCTTGGATGCATTCACAAGGCTTCTGTGAGTTTCTGCACCTACAACCAAGACAGCATTTCCGCAAGCACTTTCACCAAAAGCACACTTAATGAGCAGTATTGAATGACTAAATATCAAGGGATGGAGTTTAAATGCACATTGTGACTACATGTGTCTGACTTAGATGCACTTCTCCCAGTGCAAGAGATGAGAGTGAAAAACAAAGCACAGTAAGAAAAGTATGCAGAAACTCTTCATCTGGCTTATTTGGATCCCTTACCTGATTTACAGTGGCACCAACTGAGCCCTGCAAAACCATTTGGAGCATTTTGGCATCTGGTGGCTCTTGGTTGGTGGCTGCAGTTAGTTCCTGGGTTTTTTTCCGCATATCTTCAATAGCAACTTCAATTGGGGTTAGAATAAACTAATGGCAATAGAAGAAAAGATGCTTGATTACCTGAGTCATGCATGCAGTTGACCTGTTCTAAATCTGGCAATACCACTATCATTCTCCCATGCCAAAAGCAGTAGCTGTGAAACCCTTGAAGACTGTTCAATCTAAATGACATCTTGGTAGATGCTGCATCTGATCCAAAACTCTTTGACACCTTATCGTTTGCAAGAATAGGATGTGGATCTGACTCCCTGTTTGCATAAACTCATTATTATTCTAACTTACTGACTTCATGTCTGAAATGGGTTTGCACTTTCTACCTTTGTAAAGCGTCCCTGTCTCTAAACCAGCTCTGAGCCCAGTACAGCCATAAATAGAGCTACACACATCCTCCAACACAGCCTTACAGCTGGGATGTCAAAAGAAGAATATACATTTGCTATCCTCTCTTCTCCATAGTAAATACCTATCTTGCATTTGTCTACCCATTCTATGCCATTCCTATTTATGACAGTAACATGTTTGAGAAATTCACCCTCCTTTTTTTCTGCCAAGCATACAATTTGAAAATCTTCCCACACAGAGACTCCTTCATCCCCTGAGAAATTTGATCTGTCCTCAAAACCCAATTACCTCTTCTTTTTGGATGACATTGATTCTAGTTTTGATGTAGGGGAAAGCATGCATTGTGGTTAGGATGGTGTTCCTCTTGTATTGCTCACTAAGCTCTCCTCTGGGTCGTCCATCCATGGTAAAAGGCGTAGTGTACATGAACCGACAGAGGTTGAAGTTCTTCTCAAAATAGGTTACCCTGTCTTTCATCTCATACTCATCAAAATATGGCTCCACAAAAGTAATTTGTATGTATGCCTGAGAAAAGAGGGAAGAACCATTACAGTACTTTACAACCCAAGAAGCATAAAAGGAACAGCATATGTGAAATATCTGATAGTTCACATTGGCTAAGAGTGGTCTGGAAGAGCACAGAGCTGAAAATCCTTCAGGGCTCCTTGTCTTCTTCAGACCAACAAAACTTGCCTCTGGCAAGGGCACAGCTTAACCCCAGGGATCAGAGCCGGATCAGGCATCAGAGATCAAAACTTCTAATTTCCACACTCTGTGACAAACTACCAAACTAAGCCTTTCACAGAGACTTTAAGGACATCCCTGGACACAGAGAAACAGCCAAGCCAGGGTATTTTTTTGTGCCTTAATGTTTGAGCATAAAAGTTTTTAGGGGATCCCCCTCTCTTCTTTTGTATTCTGTGACAAAACACTAGATGACTTCCACAGCATCCTCCCCAAAACACTGGCCATAAAATCCCTGGAAAGGAAACAGAATTATCCCAGAGTGTTTTTAGTCCTTAATACAATGCTAATGATCTGTACACCTCCAGGAGAAAGGAGTAACCATGACAATTTCTGTGCCCTGTACAGTCAGTATCTGCTTCATGAACGACAACTGGCCAGGGTAAGGCATCTTCTGACAAAGATCAGTGTGAGCTGCTCACAAAAAAACAGATATCGCAGTAAAGTGATCAGAAGGGAACATTTTAGTTCCATGAAAAAAAGCTGAGAAGATACCAAAGCAAATATCTGGCATGCTCAAAGCAAATCATTCAACACATTACAGGCCTGCCCATGAGAGACACAGCCTCAAAGAGAATGGATCACTTTCATCATTATGCTGCAAAAAGGGCTACAATGGAAAGGATATATAAAAGCAAATAAACTGTGGTACAGATCAGTTTTTTATACAGCAATAATACCATTAGAACTGTGTGGGCTCATTAGAAAGTATAACATAACATTGGAAATCGTATTAACACAATGTTTTTTTTCTTTACCTCTAATCTGTGAGAAATCTCAGGAAGTTTGGTAATTGCAGGCTCCTTATAAACAAATTCCTGTTCATCCAAGTCCCCAAATTTGGACCCATAGAAACCAACACGGAAGTAAGTTCCAAACATTCGCTTTTGACCCTAATTGATAAAAAGAAAGAGGAAATTTACAATTGCTTATTTTTTTAATGCCTGTGTTGTAGTATTTGGATGCCTTTTATCCCACTGATGTATAAGAAACCCACTAATCCTACATTTTCCTGTATTTCAGAGCCAGTTCTATGCATCATCAGTGCTGATGGACTGGAAGAACGTATTCATGAAGTAAAGCACACAATTTAAGGGAATATTTGACTGAAATCTAACTTAAAGTTTGGGCTAATCATGAAGTGACTTTTGCAAAACAAAAAAACTTATTTTTAATTCCATTGGACACATGTTAAAATTTTGCAATGAAAATTGTTAAGAATTTGAAACTGACTGGACTCAGCAATAAGATTAATCTGGAGAAACAGAAGGAAAGGGGTAGCATAAGCACGGAAAACTTTGCCAGGCTTTTGTACTTCGTCTGTTTTATAACTGAAAATACTAGTTAATTGACAATAAAGTTATTTTTCTTAAATAGATGTGGCCAGGTAGAATCATGCACGTTCTTATCCTAAGTTTGACCTGTTCAGCTATTTGTCTGTAACTCTAAAACAGTTTTGTATTCATTTCTGCTTTTGCCTAGGGAGAGGACAGAGCCTCTTTTCAGTGCAGACTACCCTTTGTAGGTAGGCCAAAGCAGAAATAAGCTTCTGTTAGAAAAAGGAAATGGATCTATTTCACATGAACAGTTTTTATCACCAGTCTTAAACAAACAGTGCAACCCAGCAATGTGTCTTGCTAGCAGTGCCTTGCCACATGAGTACCTTATTAATAATGCTGTCAAAGGCCTTCTGTAGCTTGCTGTGTGTTAACGTAAGCTTCCTGAAGTCTCGATGTGCTTCCAGTATGGGGATGACAATTTTATACACCTCGTTCACAGTTTCATACAATCCACCCTTGGGAGAAAAAAAAAAAAGGAAAAAAATAGGAGAGAAGAAATTAGTCCTCATGCACTCTGAAAAGAAACTAGATCTCTAGCAATGGTCTGACTGAAAAATGAATTTGTGGGACGCATCTTCTAATCTGCTGTGTTACTTGTTTTAGCTTTCTAAAAGCTAGTAATAGTAAATGAGTAGTTCTGAGCAGCAAGCAACAAACTAGATCTAATTTGGATCTCTGATCTGTTTGGCTCTCAAGCCTAAATTCCTGTGTAAAGCACATGGTTTCTACTTAGGGGCTAGAGGAGTTAGCAACGCAGGTGAGCAGAAGGAAATGGACTTGTTTAGCATGTATGGCTCAGGGCAACCAGAGCGGCATCTGGACAAAAAGAACCCAAATGATATCTTCAGAGATGCTAAATCCTCTATCCTTTTTAGCACCACAGCAATATTATGAGCTACTTGAGTATAAACATCATGACTTTTTACATGGTAAGCATAGATTATGAGGCTGGTGGTAGTATGCTGTGTAAAAGCACAGGAGGAACTCTCACATGCTTTCTAAAACATATAGTTTAACCAATACCTTTTTCTTAAATGTACTATTCCATGCAAATACCAAATACCAACAGGCTTGTTTCATGTGTGGGACAATGACTTTCTGCTGGTGCTGCCTGCAGTCTGCACAGTAGAGGTGGATCTATGGCTGAGCTAGGCTACATGAAAAGCCTAGCTTAGCCAACCTGGCTGAGGTTGGGTCAGCCATAAGAGGTGTCTCTGCCTCTTGTTGTTTGCAGTGGGGCAGATCTGTGGAGCCTGGTTTAGCAGTAAGACTTTGTTTCCTCATGTGCAGGAAAATAAGCTACTGATCCATCCCAGATAGCCCCACTCCATCTGGTAATTCTGGCCCTCACTCACCGTGCTGAAGAGCTCTGCTGCTTGTTCCAGGAGCCCTACCAGGCCACTTTCTGAGAAATACCTCCCAGAGCATATACCATCTTCATCTGGAGACAAAACATCATCTGAAACAGCAGATTCCTCCAGCACATTGGACGAAATGTTCTAAAATACATCAGAGCAGATAAATCAGAAACCTAGATCAACAGTCTATCATAAAAATCAAGGCATAAACAGTTTCAACATATTTACGTGACAGGAAGAAGAATGAGATTACACAAGTGCAGCCAGGGGATACACAGTTAAATTCCATTTGGAAGTGAATGCAACGCCATAGATCTCTGCAGATGGCAGATCAGGAGTTTCACTATGAGAATCCTGAACCTTCTTTCTCGCCTCATGTTTAAAAGGTGGACTCCTGTAGGCTGCAGACCGGCCCCTCTCTGGTGGCTGGATTTCCATGAAGCTGCAATGAGCTCAATCTCCCATGCCGCAGGGGGCACAACCAATGTGCTCTTCCCGCTGCTGGTGCCTGGGAGTGGGAAATTCCAAGCTGCATCCTGGACCTCCCGCCACCTGCTTGAAGAAGTTGAACTTTCAAGTTATTGATTTGACTTTTGCAAGCAGAGGAGAAGTAGAACATAGACAATATTGTTCTAAAAACTGCAATAATTGAATACCGCTTTTCATTCCAGTCTCTTACATCTTGATCCTCGGTTTCTTCTTAAAGTTACTGATCTCATTGTGTGTTTAAACAAAACTAGATAAAGTACACAGTGTCAGCCACTCTTTGAGATTCTAGACCATGAATTAACATGTCTATTGTTCTTCAGGATCCCTTTGAATAAATGACACTGGGTAGAGTCAACATTAAAAATTTTATAATACATAGAAATACATGTAAATGAACATTAAAATATGTGTACATACAGTATGGAACCAGCACATGTAACTTTCAACAGCAGCAGAAATGCCAAGCTTCGATTTGCTAGTAATTAAAAGGAGTTAAATTAGTGTCATAGTGTCTCACTTCAGCACAAACGGGCAATGACAATCTGTCTGAGTTCAGAATAGATGCCAACTGGCTGGCTGGCTGAGTCCTTAAAGACTTCTTTATAAAATGGCAGAGACACTGAGGGCTGTTACTATTGATCAGATTTCAGATAAAGAATTGACACCACACATCACTAGCAGCATGGTACTTTCCCCTTGGGTTTTGTGGATGTATTTATTTCTCCATGGGTGAAATTTACTCCAGCCATGTTGCCATCACAGTGCCTAGTCTGCATATCACGTCAGCTCCACTGGAAGGGTGAGCACAAAGCTCAGGACAGCATTCACAGGAGTTAATACATCTAAATTTCAGCCAGAGGGAAAACTGCAGCATGCTTTAGCACATCCATGCCACTTTTTACCTACCAGTCTCACTGAAGATAGTGACTTCAACCAGAGTTAGCCTCCCTGGCACATACCTAGGGCAACTCATACAACCCATGCTGCAGCTCAATTTCTGGTTTCTCTTTCTGTAAGAGTAGTCATTAAGGACTCTTCACAGGATGGTGTGCAGCCTTTGGCAACTTTTTTTTTTTTTTTTTTTTTTTAAGCAAAGGGAAAATGTCCAGAGGACTGATTTATTTATGAAAGTAACCAGAAAGTCACAGACACCAATTATCTCTTCTTTCCCTTTAAACCTGTAATAACAAATGTCAGGTATGTATTTCCATGTTTTACAGTCCACACACTCTAGTAGGAGAGAGCCTTCATGATGTATTCCTGGTGCTTGCATGATCTTTTGCAAAGTGGCTGTGCCTCACCCACCTTTTGCCTTGATATATCTTTCATGTTAAGAATTTTATACGTTGCTTATTTAATAAAAGCAATACACAAGTCACCATGTATATCATTGGCAATTTTTTTGGCCCTCACAAGCCTAGTTTTCTTTAAGTGAAAGAAACACTTCTGTAAACTCAAGGGGCTTTACTGTGATCCCCAGCGCTTATCACCATGTTAAATATGGCTAAAAAAACCTGCAACCTAGACCCCCAAAACAGCACAGCCAAATTAGGCTACTGCTGAGCCCATGCTAATTAGCCCTGTGCCTCAGCAGGTAGACACACACACTAAGTCCTTGTCTGTGGTAATGTAAAGTGGCTTTAAAGTCAGTCCATATGCAATTCATAGTCTATGTAAGTCCACTTTATCACTTGCAGAAGGGATTTAGTGTACACATGAAATAAGCTCAAAGGGAATTTCACTGAAAGTGATCCCATTCTGATTTTGAAGGATAGTTTTGATTGCATAGAGGGAAGCTTTATACAGTTTTGTCCGGCACAGTATAAGGAAAAGTGTTACTCTACTGACTGTTTTCTGGATGCTAACAGAATCACTGCAGAAGACCTACATCAACTGATTTAATCCTTTGCTGCCTCATTTTACTCATCCGCAAAAAGGACGTAATACTTCTGCTCATCCAGAACAATCTTTTCTTATACACATTATTACCACCCTCAATTCCACAACTAAATGTGTATCACCAGTATTAGTTAATTTCATATCTGAGCTAAATGAAGAAATGCACACAGAAAGAGTCACTGAGTGAGATCTGGAACTCCAGGTAAATCCGAGACAGTCTGAGTTGTGTTTCTCTATTTTAACAAAGTCATCTGAACAGGATCTTCACAGGTGCTACAAAACACAAACCTGTTTGTAAAGAATGGCAGTTCTTCTCTTGAAAGGCTTTGTAAAAATGCAAAGTGTTATTACAGTTAATTATTATTGTTGAGCAAACTGAAATTCAAAATTATGCTGTCAGATAAAGAGTTGTGTAATTGGGTTTCTGGTCATTAAGGCATTTTATTACCTCTCTCCTGTGGAGCAACTGTTCCTTTGGCAAACACGTATTTACACAAGCATTTTGATGAGAGAGATTGATTTGTTGCTTTCAAACTTCTAAGTTTTTGCTTGCCTAATGCCTTACAGAATAGACTTCAGTTCTCTAAAATATCTGGAAACATATGCATTCATGGCAATCTGCTTAATCTGGGAGCAATGAAGAAGGAATTGCATTAGGGTCAAGACTGTGAGATTACAAGCATTCAAGGCAGCCTTGGAGCAGGATGATATTAGGAAGGGAACGCAGACTTCATCCATATCTAAATGATGACAGTATGTAAGAAGTACGGAGAAAAGAAGAAAATAGAAGTAATGAATGAAAATTAGAGTTAGAAAGTATACAGAACTGAGAAGGGACGCAAAATGGCAGAAGTATAAATCCATGGCCAGAAGTTTAGCCAGTAAAAAGAGTATATACAGCTACCTTAAGAGTAAAGGAATTAAGAACAACACTAGTCCATCACCTGACTGCTAAGGTGGAATTGCAAATACTAACATCCAACATACTAAATTCCATGCAAAATGCTAAGTGGTTCAATCATATCCACATTTACTATTCTGAAGGGAAAAGAACCCCAGGTGGTATGGTTATATCAAGGGATAACGAATGTACCAGCTCCTAGTGTTAGCCATTTAAAAATGACCTGCTCCATAAATACACTCAAGCAAAAGGGTATTCAGGCAGCCAATACTCAGTTGCCATATGTTTTAGGAAACTGGGGAAATTCCAGAGGAGGAAATATGCTTTGGAGACCACCTTTTTTTAAAAGTAAACAAGACGAGCATATAGTGATAGGTTTATCAGTCTGCATCCAGGACAAAGTGGTGGAAACACTGATACAAAATTTTACTAAAGAAAATGTTAAAGGTATTGTAATTAACCTGAATCAACACCAGACTATAGAAGTCTAATACTTTTAGAGAGATTACAATCTCATAAAGGCAATAATGCCCAAACAGTAGATGTCCATACAACATCCGTGTTAATTCTGCAAAACATTTCCATTAATGAGTTGGAATGTTTCATAATCATTGCAGCAAACACTGTGTAAATGAACAATGATCTTCGCTAGTCTTAGGGAACAATGATAAAGGAGGAAACATCAATACATGGGAATATTTTAAGGGTTCAGCCATTTCTATTTTTAATAATATGTGAAAAAAAGCAGTAAAATCACTCAATTTGCACACGAAGTCAGTTCAGGTAACTGCACAATCTTTTACACAACGTATAAATATCTGCATTTCGAAATGCCTAACAACAAAGAGTTATGCTTTCACCTACATGGTGAAGAAAAGAAAGGTGAAAAAAAACCCCAAGAAAACTCTCTGGAAAAGATCAATGTATTACTGAGTAAAGAGCTCAACAATGCCAAAAGAACCAGTGAAGTCTTTGGAGAGATAAACTGAGGGATACTTTCCAGGCTTAAAGTACTTATGGGACATTTTTACTTTACTTTGAATGTGACTGTGTATAGACTATGGTGATTGTGTCATTCATTGATCAAAAAGTTGTTGATTAGTAACTGAAGGACAGTTAAAGGATGGGAGAACATGCCTAAAAGAACTGAGTAGCTCCAATTACCTAGATCATGAGAAATAAGTTTGAAAGATGCATCTGTCACAGTTGATTAGTAATAGCCCTAGGAAAAGGCATGTGATAATACAGGGGTTCTCCTTTGCAAACAAGAGATTACTGTATCCAGCCGCTGCATGTAGAAGCTAGAGACAGACAGATAATGAAGTACCAGTTTTCATCAGTAGGCATAAATCTTTGGAACAACCTACCAAGAGTGGTGATGGATATTCTGCCATCGTAACTTTTCCTTCCCATACATGCACTTCTACTCTGCTTAACACAAGAAGAAGTACACACACCAGAACAAGCCATCCCCACCTATGTTGTCAGAGCTTGGGAGCATTTTCTTACCTGAAAGGTGACACTTCCCACTGGGAGATAGTTTCGATCTTCAAGCATGCTGAGGTACTCTGCCACCAGTGCTGCAGCATGGACCAGACACATGGCTGCTTCTGTGTAGCACTTCCTCTTGGTGTGCTTCTCTGCCATGTTCTGCAGCCAAGTCAGCCTCAAGTCAGGCGATGTCTGGTATCCTTTGGCAATTCTGACAACGCAGGGCAGAAAGGAGGTGTGAATGACCACTTCTTCTCAAATAACAGAAAGAACCTTTATTATTCTCCACCTGGGCTGAATGGAAGGAGACATCTTTGTCTTTTTTCTATATAACTGACTAAGCACAGGGCAAAAGAAATGGTTAGGCAGGGACAGGCAGGACACATAGGGGCTATGAGGAGAGTAAAGTTTTGGCACCTTGTGTTGTCTTTGTAGCATATCTTGAGGCCTCTAGTGGCTCCACTGCAACACGCTCAGTCCTGCAGCCTGGACCCCCTGTGACAGATCAGCTGTACTAAAGTGGGAATGTACACAGACAGAACAGCTAGAGGGTTTGTCCGCAGCTTGCCCCTAAAATGCACAGTTCTTGTGCTCACCTCACTGCACAATTTCCTCAGTAGCAATTCTAAATGGATTCACCTGTACATGAGATCCATGAGCATCTCTGGATCTTCCTGAAATTCCCTCATTTTCACCGTATCAGACAGGATGCTGTTCAGATTACACAGCAGCTCCTCCACCTGCAGTAACACAAAGATCAACATGCATTTATCAGGTGTTTATTTTTTCCCTTCTAGAAAAATAACAGCATCTGCAGCAGATGATGTTACTCTATTTTAGTCCATCCTACCCAAGGAAATACCAGGATGCTGAATTGCTAGAAGGTATGCTTTTCCAATTCTATTCAATGCAGTGAAAACTGATGACATAGCAAATCTTATACACACATTTTAATTAATCAAAATAAGCTAGAATCCTTTGATCTGTTGATTTCTGAATGAAAAAACCCTATGTGCTAACGTTGAACTTTAGTTGATCTGTGATCCAATAAATATTTTTGTAAGTCTTCAGCACAAGCCGAGTTACTGTAAGAATTTTAGCAAAGCATCCGACAGTTGTCTGAAATTTTTTTCATTTTTGCTGCTGCTGCCTTATGAACTGAAAAAGGGAGAGAAGTTTCTATGATGCCACTTGTCTGAAAACCTAATTAATCAAATTCCATCTTGGGGAAACTCTTACAGGGTACAGTTCCTGCTGGGGTCTAAAAGAAGGTTGTACACAAAGCTAAGAGATGATTCTCCTGTAATGTGATTTCAGTGGAACTTCTTAAGAGTTTAGTCTATGGAATTATGTCCTCCACTTCTTCCCCGCTTATTGCTGTGTTAGAAATAAACTCATGCAAAGAGCTTGTATCCTTATTTTCATTGCTTGGAAAGACCAAGATCTAGGACTTGCTCCAAAAGCATTCTTACGTGAAAGCTCCTGATAAAAGCCACAGATGTCATAAAAGATTTGACCTGCACGGGAAATGGAGTTGCCTGCATATCCGCGTCTTCCTCTGCATAGGCTAGGATGGTTCGTAAGGATCGTCGAAGGAATTCCTCATTAAACTCAGGTGATTTTCCAACCAGAGAGGCTAGTGACATAGTCACCTGCATCTTCACTCTTGCAAAATTCTTTCAGAAGAAAAAACAAAAACATGGGAGAATGATGGCTGCACTGCACCATGCATACCAGTTCACAGATCTCCGCCTACTGTATCAACCAAACCCGCTTTCTCCTGCCCACACTGAGCACATCAAACTCACCGCTCACACAAGTGGCCTCTGGTGCATGAAAGCGAGTCCTGTTTTATCTGGTTGAGCCAAAGTTCTCTACTTCTGACATGTCTGTACTTTGGGGCAAGAATGTACCATGGAATACATATGCTTGCTTGAGACGAGGGGAAGTCAGAAGCACCTCTTTGCCCCTCTGCACAGACCAGTGGGTGTGTAGATTAGGCCACCCACAGAGGAGAAGAAGAGGAAGCAGGACTGGGAAAACATTCTGGAAACAAGACTGGGAAGGAAAAGGCCTCTGAGGGCTTCACCTGGTGATGCATTATGCCTTGCTGATTACGGTGTCTCAGAGGCACATTTTCTTCTTGGAAAGTCAATACGTTTTACATATTCAAGGCTTTTAAAGTAACAACCAGGGAAGAAAATGCCATGCAAGATCAGACGCTATCCAAAATGCTAATGCATGTCCTTTCGTGCTAAGATATTGAGAACCTATATGCATAGCGTACGAACTTTGCTCCATATGTGTGGTAAAAATCAGAGCCTAGTCCTGAGACCAAGAGGCCAGTGAAAAATTCCTATTTATGCAAGCATATGGTAGTTCTACTGAGGTTGTAATTGCATTATAATAGAACTATTCTAAGTTTAAGTAGTTCTGATACAGGAGCGAAAAAAAAAGTGACAAAATGAACAGCATTGCTTATGCATTCTATAGCCCTTGCTATCAGAAGCCTAATGCTGTTCCGTTTGAAGAGGCATTTACAGATGTTGCAGAAAAAGTCACATTTTCCTAAACAAAATAATGAACCATAATTAAAACTACTTTCCCCCTACATATCTAGAGCTTCTTCTGGCTCAAACGGGCGAAACAGCATACGTATGACTATTAAGATGCAGATGTGTTCCATTTGCTATCACAACTTCAGTTTCAGTTTCAACTGATCACAAAAAAAGGTGGCACAAAACATACTGCTGTTCTCAGAATCTTACACTGGTAGAGCTGAAGCTGTATCTCATGAGGAGATAAAGAGTGGCACAGGCTTGAGTACGTGTGATATCTATGCTGCTGCTGCAGTGATGGAGAACTCTTTGACACAGGTCAGCACACTGTTCAACCTCCTCTTCAAACAGGAAATCTCCAAACTAAGGGCGATAGAGAAGAAAACATTCATTACTCTCATTTCTGGCCACTAAAACATCATTAGCTTAGTGCACAAGAATCAGAGGATCCAGACAAAGACTAAAGTTTACAAAAAGCTACATTTTATACATTTTTTTATTTGGACTTCTGATTCCTGTGACATTATAGGTTCCATTTTTAAGCTATTCTACAGAAGAGAAGGGTTTGAAAATAGTCTTTGTGTTTAGAAAAAAGCAGTAGAAAGAGAGAGAGTAAAAAAATTTCTCAGAGTCCCATGGCTCCAGGAGCTTTTGAAAACATAAAATATTGCAAAATTTTTAGAAGCATGGAAAGTTTCTATTTTCAGAATATATAATTGTTGGTTAAAGATGCAAACACTTCTTTCAGCATAGGGAACAATTACTAGCTTTTTACATCAACGCCCTACCCTTCCCCAGCCCTCTAGCATGTTCTTCCTCCTATGGCATGCCACAAAACTTCCATTTCCCAGCTTTCATGCCAGACCCTCCTTTACGGTGTCTCCACAATGCACCTAGCAGACAATAAACCCAGGGGGCAGGACGTCTGTCCTAAGAAACTCTCACCATAGACAGCACAGATGCACCCGTACCATGTGTACATACATAGGACTGATAAAGGTGTGTGAGCAGAACACAGGCTATTATTTCTCATTTGCAGGCCCATTTCCCAGTTCTCAACCTTTCTTCACTCCATTATCTCACTGTTTTATGTCTAATTTATGCTATAAGCCTCCTGGCACAGAGTTCTATCATTTTTATTTGTAAAATAACATCTATATACCGACAGTGTAATAGAAATAATTGGAATGATTGCTTCATAAATACAGAAGTGAGTCAGCTTAACTAGAAGTTCTATTTCAATGAGAATAACTATTGCTTCACAAAATTCATTATTGTAATTGGAAGTTAGCTTTCAAAGATAAAGTGCAATAAAAACATAATTATGAGTTTCATAACTACTCAGATATCTACCCTGTAATTAGGCTTTGTCAGCCAATCTGCATTTAACAGCAGACATGCATTAATTGGACCGGAGTATCCTGTTTGTTATTTGCATTTTAGAATAGTTCAGGGGAAAAAAAAACCATTTAATGGATTTCTCCTCTGTGGAATTGCTCTTTTTTTGTAGGACAATAAATCTTTAACAGATTTTAAAGAGTCCTTATGAAGCATCTAACCCACTATGACCTGCATTATAAAAATATTGGGTCAAATTCTGTGCTCATACACATTTTGAAATTTTTTTTTTGATTGGTGACACCGAAATGAAAGACAGCTTAGGCTTTGGCTTAGTTTTCAGGCAGAACAAAGATGAAATTTGTCAACATCTTAGAATCTACTTAGAATCTTGGAAACTATCTTAGAAGTAGAAACGTAAAATGACGCCCCTGATCTCTGATGAGTTAGCTTTGCTTTTGCTGCTGCCCAACTGGCCGGAAACTAGTCCTAATGATATAATAATTTAAATTCAACTTTATGGAATCTGTGCAATCCCTGGCATTCAGATTCCTAATTAAAATTGGAATGTATTTGAAATACAGTGGGTGGAATTTCTTACCTTTTTCTTAGTAAATCTTCTATATTTAAAGCAGACAGCTAAAACCACAAGATTATTCAGATTCTGTTATTCCATCTTGTGTGGTCAATGAAATAACTTTACAACAGCTGTAGAAGCCCTTTAACATCCCTATAGACAGGCATTTGTATTTACATGTGCAAAACATATTTAACGAATGTCAAAGGAAAAGTGGTAAGTGAATGCACACGGCTCTGCTCTAGAAATGCTGCTCTAACAACTTTATTTGAAGCACGGAAAAAGAAATATGTCAAGAGTATACCTTAGCAATGAGTGCTCTGAGTGTAGCAAAGCAATGAGTTAGGTAAGTGGTGCTCTGATCACAGCCAAGAGAATTTACCAGGACCTTCAAAACTCCTCCCAAAAGATTGTCTCTGCACTCCGCCGCAAAGCTTGCCTACACATGGAGGAGAAAAACAATAATAACTGCATGAGGTAATTCAGCAACGAACCAGCACACAGGAACTGAAGTTCAGCTCTCTTACCCGTGAGACGCATTCAGGAGTTCACAGATTGCAGTTTTTTTCATTTGTTAACACCTGCTTCAGAGGAATTTCAAAACACTTTTGTGGTAATCAGGAAGACAGAGGGGAAAATGTCCCAAACATTTCGCAATATCTGCAGACCCTCCAATGCATTTTTAAGCTCAGTCAGCTTCTGCAGTGACTCTGTCCACCTGCTGTCCAATCTTCCATGTACCTTGGATCAGGAAGTGATCCTGTGGTGGCCAAGCACCACCCTTCCCCTTGCCTCCTCATGCTCTGATTTCCTGGGCATATAAGCTAAATAGGCATACTGGTATGCTCTGATCAAACCCACAACCCAAGTAGTGGGGAGACAAGGTGCTATGAGTGGCGTCATGCAAAAATCACGCCCAGTACTACAAGAGGCTCGTAGCTAAATGCTTTTGTACTAACAGGTTTTCAAGAATCAATTTTCTTCTCGCTGTCTATGAATATGCATGTTGCTCCAACAGTAGTATTCTCATACCCATGAATGTAGAGTGTCTCTCATTAACCAGGAGACCATGTTTAAACAGTCATCTATGATGATTCTACTGCTGTCAAAGGACCTGTCAAATTTTACTGCATCTAACTCCTAGGAGTTAAGTAAGTTCTGGACATTACATTGCTCTAAGGGGGGGATATCTCTTTTCAGAAGGACTTCATGCAGGTGAAAGATACTTTCACTGAACATTCGGTTGGAGTCAAGGTTAAATCCTTTTATCTCACAGGATGATACACACAAGCACGATCAAAGGCTACCCAGCAGTCCAGTTCCAAATTACTAACATCTTCAGACACCTTTCTAGCATAAATGAAGTTTTTTCTTCCCTTATTCTCTCCAAACTCCAAGATCATATAAGACAGTGGAAAAAGCTTTCAACAACATCTCCTGAAAACAAAGTGGTAGTTTTCCTTTTCTTTCACAATGGTGCAATGCCCTACAGTAGAAGGGGCTTGTGGCAACAGTGTAAGGCAGGCAGCAATTTCATCTTTGGATCAATTTATCTTTTTTTTTTTCCTTTCAAGACTATACAAGTTTACAGCAGATCTTTAATTAAAATATTTTGTACTTCCTAAGAAACAAGAGGAGAAATGAATCTTGTTTCTACTGGCTTCTGAGGGAACAGGGATTGGTACCAAGACAGCTCTGCGATTTCCCACCTGGATGATGTTCTCTTGCATATCAAGAATAATCAGGTTAGCTTCAGTAGCCAGGTTTCCACTGATGAGAGCTTCTTGATCTAGCTCAGCTTTTGTCCTGCAAAAAAGGAGTTCTACTTAAACCATGCAGAGAGTACCCCAAGAGTTAGATGGCCTGCTGTTTAAAAAAAGTCAAAATACAAATGATACCAGCATTCTGAATGATCCTATAAGAGCAAACAGCAAAAATAGTTTTCAGACATTTTTCTTAAGAACTACAAAGTCAAATGAGGAGAGCTGATGTCGTAGGGCAGAAGTCCCAAAGGGGACACCTGAAAAGTGGGCCTTTGGATAGTTCAAACAGACGCTTCTGCATCCTTAATAACAATCTGTGCAATGGCTACTATGCCCTTGATATCATGTTCAACTCTTCAATAAGCTACGCAGTAATTCTGAATGCATTGCCTACAGCAGGACACCAAAACACAAAATGGAATAAATAAAAAAAAAAATGATCTAACACTTCCAGAAAAAAAGTAAAAATAGCAGGCTTTGGCAAGCAGGAAATTGCTTCAATGTTTTAGCAGCAGTGTTTAATGCAAGCAGTTTAAAACATTGATTCTTGAGACTGTTGACAAGATAAGAAAGCAGGTCCAACAGTGGGGTCAACACAGCAGTGCCCCAGGCCATTTAAGATGGGACCGAAACATCTATATAAAAGACAGAAGGGGGTGAAAAGGCAATGCATGATACCCTCTTAGTTGAGACTTCAGGATGAGCTCTGGAACACAGTTCCTCCGCAGCTGAATGCTCTAAGCACAGGTGCAGCTCCTAACAAAAGTGTATTTTCAAAGATCCCTTCTATGCCAGAAACACACAGAGGAGCCTTTGTTCTTTTTTCTAAACTTTCTTTTCCTTCACAAAAGGGCTGTTGCATGGCCAGAAGCTGCTCTCTAGAGCTTGAGATTAGAGCTGTCTGACTTGGGCCAAAGTTCCTAAGCTGCATTTCTGTGGCTGGAGCAACACAATCACACTTCTTAGTGACTGCAAAATCTGTGGGTTTTTTTCTGCATTCACTTACCTTTTCTGTCCAGTAGAGTCTTACCCAAAACAAAAACCAGAAAAGTAAAGAGCCATCCTTTTGGGCACAACCAGATAATTCTGGAGAGGGCTAGGAAAGGCAGTCAGGGCAGTCACATGGTTATTAATTACAATGACTCAAAGCAATGAAGAACAGAAGGGTCTGCCAAAAGGCTGGTGCTGTAATCCAGCCAGGGATCACTAAATATGAGTAAGAACTTAACAAATTAAGCAAACAGCATAGCTGTTTGAACCATTTCCAGCAACCACTCAGCCTTGCACACTAACCATGCTGGCTGGGTCCTCTCTGACACCACACTTTGCTTATAACTGCAACAACAATCCCAAAACATGCTGGACTCAAGGAGAAGCAGGCTGAGTGGACCGTGCAAACCTGCTCTGCCACGTACCACCTGCAAACACCTTACTTATGGAACATATATATTAAAGGGATCCACAAAGGATGAGAGCAAAGATCTCGCATACCACACTGATGAACGCTGGGTAAAACAGAAAGGCCCGGACAGCATGCCAAGTTTTACTTATGTAACCAGAACTTTTATTTTAAGTGGTTTAACTGAACTACTGTAAAGAGATATTGTAGAGCTGCTGCTTGAGGACTGTTTTAATCTGATTTCAGTGAAACTGGCTGGGAGAAAGTAAGCTACTTTCAGTGCAAAATAAGAACATCCACACAGGATCTGCACCTCTTCCAATCTAGCACAGAAGGTGGAAGGATTCTTTTTTCAAAGTTTTGATAAATTCCAGATTAACAATCTCGTGTTCAAAAACGTATGTGATAATCATGGATGAGTGCTATGCTACAACAATGTAGTTGCCACATAGCACAAGCCAGTGTTCTCCATTCAAATTCACACATGTTGAAGGGTATCACAGGAGATCACAGCAGCTGGACTGGTGAGAGGTCACTGTCTCTGTCTGAAACACAATGGCCCAATTAGACAGTCAAATTCAAACCAGACAAGTGCCACATCTCCTTTACGGAAAAGCAACATGTTCCATGCTTACAGAAACTTATCACATAGCATACAAAAATGCTGTTAGTAACACAAATCATTCGCGAAAATACAGTTTTCCATAATCACAGAATCACAGAATGTTCGGGGTTGGAAGGGACCTCTGTGGGTCATCTAGTCCAACCCTTCTGCCGAAGCAGGGTCACCTACAGCAGGCTGCACAGGACAAAAAACCTAGACATTGACTTGTCTACTACCATATAGTGCTGGTAAGGTGAAATGTACTGAGACGTCATAACTCAAAACCTGCAACAGGAAAAATACTCACTACAGAATCCTCTTCCCCTACTCCTGCTAATAGCTCTTCTCAATTTTAACATAGCGTGACCAACTCAGCTCAACCGATCTAACGTGGCAAAACTTACACCACAGTACTGCACACAGTGAGGAGCCATACCAACACCAAAATAAAGGTTGCAGCCAGCCTCTGTGGAGTATTTGATAAAACTTGTATCAATCACCAGTGTTCACCACACTGCTAATCATCAGGAGAAAATGTGTAGATAACTGTTTAAACTTCTCATTCCAGTATTTGTGATCTCTTTATCGTGTCATAGCAACAGTTGGATACTTCTGCTACATAAACATTTTCTACTTCTTTCTCTTTGACAGAACAGGGAAAGGACTGAAACTGCTGATTTTGTAATAAAACATCCTAGCAGAAAGAACAAAACATAAAAACCCAAACAGATTGGTTCTCATAAAAGCAATACATATTTATTAAATGACTTACTTATCTTGTCTCTCATTTGCCTGCCGCCAGTGAGTCTGCTCCTTTCTCCAGCGCAGGTTTTCATTTAGGCCCACTGATCTGTCATTCCCTAAAAGTGCAACATATGTCAGTGAGATTAAAGCAAAAAGGGACACCTGAAGTCTGCTAGCGCACCAAAAGAAGGTGATACATGTCTGTAGCAGTCTGTCAGAAGTAAAACCATTCAACTTCACAGCCTCAGGGCACTAGTAAAAGGACAGGACCTCATCATTTTTTTAATCTAGGATTTTTAGAACATTAGCTTGCTTACAGATGTCTTCAAAGACAAAACCACAAATTATTTCATTTATCAAACGAAACAACCTTTTTTCACTATGAACAGTTTATCCTTTCGTATCATTTTGACACCATTTCTTGGCTTCTGACTAGACACTAACACAATTTCTCCAAATGTCTTAAAACTTCTTAGTTGGCCTCATATTCTTCATCTGAGAAGAGCTCAGTCTTAGCTACACCTTGGATAGTTAAAAGCTAATGATATTTTTATCAACAGCAAAACCAAGAAAGCTCTACAAGGCAAAGGACTGTGAGCGGAAAATGTAAGGATGAAAACGGGGAGCGTACATAAAATCCAACAAACTCATTTATGTCTACAACCTCTTGAGATCCTCTCAAAAGACATGGGGGGGGAGGGATATGAAGTACCAGCTGGCATTCTGCAGCGCTTCATCATTTCTCCTCTGGCTCCTTCACCTCTCAGTAAAGCCTCCTCTAATCGGGCCTTAACGTCTCGTGACTTCTGGAGTGCTTGGGTGCTAACTTTATCTGAGCTCTGTTTGCCCTGAAAGTAAAGTCAAAGCAAGCAACATCAATGCCTCCATCTTTGGACATGAGTCCAAATTACACCTCCAGAACCAGACACAACAGGAGACCTGTAGAGGGGGCAGAAAGCAATGAGTATGATTGACTAATACATAAGGGCTAATTAAATGTTGCAGATGAGGAAAGAGGCAGTATATGTACTGGTAATATACATAAATTTGTAGCTCACTGCTACAGAGAGAGAAACTACAGTTCAGAGAGAAGGTTACTTGATCCATTTCAGACTGACCCTGTCAAGAGAGGTGAATCCTGATGTCTGGTTCCAGCTCTTAACTAAAGGGTCACCTAACACAACCGTACTTTGAAACGGGTAGAATATCGTCAGGAGAACAACTCCGGTACTTATACGAGCTGCCAATACACTGCCCAACAAAAATAGCCCTCAAATCCCCACAAAAAAGAAGATAATAGAACAATTTAAGCTGACTTCATAGGACTTCCTCAAAGGTTTGGCAGCATTTCTCTCGAAGTCTAGTGTCAGGTATTTTGTCTGAATTAATTTGTCCATTTGTAGCACAGATTAGACAAGAGCTAATTTAACAACTGTCAATAACAAATTTTCCCCAGACAGCTGGAAGGTAAGGAAAAAAATCAGAAAGCAAAACAAGACAACAAAATCAGGCCATGTTTCACCTACCTTGTACTCAAAGCATGAGACACAAATGAAGAGGAGGTCTAAAATCCTGTTCAACTGCATAGATGGAAGGTCTGCAATCCATTTCTGTATTAGATTCTGATCAGCATTTTTCATGATCCAGAGAAAACAGATCAAAAGGTTGCGAGTAGTATCAGGACCTAATGTGGCACTCTGTCTGTAGGGCTAGGAGCAGATAAAGTAAATGTCAGTTGAAAGAAGAAAAAGAAGAGGGAGGTCATTCATGTGAAGCATTGTTATTTCAATTTCACTGAAACCAAATCTCAGGACTGGAGTTCAGTAAGTTTAACCTCTTGCAGGTTATACCGATTGTATTTTTTGAATGTATATGTGTGTTATTAGTGGCAAAATCAGTTGTATGCTTGTGAAAGAAAGAGACACAAGAGCATTGTTCGCTAGATGCCTGTATTTTAATTGCCTTTGAATAATGTAAAAAAAGATTCTATAACTGTTCGGTCCCCTCTTGCCACACAGTTGTGTCAGCCAAATTGCATAGAAGACAAAACGGACCACGAAGAAAGAGAGAGAGAAAAAGACGGATCTTGGGGATTCAGGTGAGACTGCGACTGGGAGGCTGAGAGGGAGTCATAGTGGCATTTGCTGACCTGGAAATGAGTCTTAGGCTTAGGCTGGGTATGGAAATGGAAATAGGCATGTGGGAGAAAAAGTGGAACTACTTATGGTAAGGGAGCAATTAAATGACTAGAAGAGAGGATGAGGAGATGACAGGAGGAATATGAGGCATTCGTTGGGGCTGCAGGAAACAAGAACGCAGTTTCTCATGGCTATAGTTACTAGTGACAAGAAAGGATAAAAGGGGAAAACGAACAGGAAGACAGATACAAGAAAGGAAACTAGCAGAGCACTGGACATACCAGGGACACCAGAGATACTCCAGAGCTCCTGAGGTTGAACTGATTCCCTGCAATGGCAAGGGCCACATTTTGATTGATAGCACTTGCAGACTCTTGCTCTTCTTCTGGGCTTCCTGTGCGTCCCTTTCCGCTGCGGGCATCTGAAACTAGATTCGAAATACCCCATTGGAGCTTTAGGAGCAATCCAGTTGTTGCCACTCACATGTCACAGTCTTCCATTGCGCTGTAACCTAACAAAGCAATTGGCACTTCCATGCTCGAGACTGTTGGTCTGGCTGATGTACCAAGCAATGAGAGAGGTGCAGCATTAGAAAGACAGATTGCAGCCATCTGCAAAGGCTGTCAAATTGTTCAAATAAATATACGGAAAGGAGACGTGTTCACTAAGCTCCAGGTGTTCAGAAAAGCTAAATTAAAAGCAAAGCCAGTAGCAAACTTGAGGTTGTCTCCGAAGTTCAAACCTAAGCCAGCACTTCACAGGACTTGGAACCATCCAGTTCCAGTCCATTTCAGGCAAGAGGATCAATGCAAAAGCCATACAGGGGTTTGGTGATATTCAGCAAAGTATGTAAGTCTGCTAACAGCTGATAGCCAGTATTACCTGCTGGCTAAGAAGAAGTTTAATTTCAGGCATCTAGCTGCTTCCATTCCCTGATAGTTCTTGACATCACCTTCCACACATAAAGTTATTTACACCCAAGTTTTGTAAAAATCCCTCTGATTCTGAGTGTCCATTTTGTGTTTTGAAAGTTCTGTTTTTCAGAGAAGCTGAGTGACCAGCCAGTCCCAGTGTGTTCAGAACGAGGTCAACAGCCTCTTGTGACAGATATTCAAAGAGAAAGACACTCTAAAACCTAGCCATACTGGTACACCTGGGTTTCGTCCACCTTCTCATCTTTGGTATATAAGGATAACATTTAGATTAGAAGAATGTAGTGAGATATGACTAGCCAATGTATAACAAATGCTTTCATCCTATTAGACTGAAAGTGCTAAATAATACTTTCATAGTATTAAGTTATTTGTCCAGATATCTAAATGCAAAATGTTTTCAGAACCAATGACAAAGGTATATTCTTCAAAGATTATACCTTTTTTTCCTTTATAGTTTTTTTTTTTTTTAATGGAAGTGAAATGTAGTTTTCCAAGTAGCAGAGATCTACCAGTTTACAAAAAAGTGTGAAATAGCTACTTTCAGCAGTATCATACGAAGACACATGTCACAAAATGCAAATGAACAGCTTAGATGCTGTTGTTTTAAAAGGCTTTACAATGTAGAGCAAAGTTTATAGCTATAACAGGTGATAAAATATATATTTCCTGTGTGATGATTACATTTGCCTAAGATTAATTTTGGTATCACAATAGCACTAAGGAGCAGTAGAAAAATATAGAAAAAATGCAATCTAATTTCTTTAATTGTGATGTAACATGATGTCAGTATCACTACTGTTTCTCCCTTCTGTCTGCTAAACCCACCTATACCTCAGTATTTCGCACAGATGTTGCAGGCTTTATTTGCAGGATCATAATACTTACACTAAGAGATAGGCAGGAGTGCTTACAGATACGTCTCTGGCCTATCATTTGCTCATGAAGCGAGGACACTGAAGTTTATCCTGTTTTTAAAATCCAGTTTACTTCTAAATAAAGAAATACTCAACCTTACTAGACTGTGGGGAATTTCACTTAGCGTGATCTCTTTTATGTTTGACAGATCGTTTAGCCAAGTCACTCTAAGAAGCTGAAAAATACAAAGGGAAAAAGATCTTACTTGTAAAATCATGGAGTTGCGGCAGTGAATCCAAAATGATACCAACCAAAGGGAGGTAGAGAGCTGCAATTTTAATCTTCACCTCTTTTTTTGAGCAACGTGGATCTAAGTCATGGGAACTCAACAGGCTAAGGATAGCACTGACAGCTTTTCTTTGCACCTTGCTAATCCTGTTAACACAAAAACCATCAATGAGTTCCATTAATGGGTCATGCACAAACTATTTATAAGTCAAAGATTTAAGAAAGAGAGTGGAGGTGAAAGAAACAAATTAATACAGAGATATTCATTTAAAAATCTCTTCCATTCTGAGCAGAGACTCATGTTCCCTGCAAAGGACAGCTATCTTATATCTCCAAGACACTTCACCACAATCAAAGGGCACCCAAGTCTTTCAAACCTCCCATAAAAATTCAATATAGTGAAGAGAGGTGCCTAAAGAAAAGCACCAGACTCTGGCCAAAGTTTAGCTAAACTTGTAAGCTCAGACAAAGGCAGAGGTGTTTTAGAGAGAAGAACAACCGAAATTTTAAGCTGTGTTCTCAATTTGTGTATTTAGCCAACACTACTGCAACAAATAGTACATTTTTATCCACTGGGATCAACACACTAAAACAACTGCATTATTGCTATGTTACAGAGTGACTCACTGAAAAGAGTGGGGGAAATAGGACTACCCTTGAATAGAACTACGACCTTGCTAAGAGTAATAGTGTGATTTGATCCCACTGTAAAATCTGCAAATTGGGATACCCACCCTTCACTGTCTGCATCCAGCGCCGCTGCTAATTCAGTGAAAAGTAAGCCGGTCAGAAAGTGCTGCTGACGGTATTCGGCTGAGAGGTCAAACATACCAGCGATTTTCTGGTCCTGGAAACTAGAGCAGGAGCTAGAGTTCTGCAGAAGTATATTAGAAGTATTAAAGAATCATCACTGAAATCAAAGCTTCTTAAAGTGGTTGTAGTCACAGTTCATGCAGCCAACAGAAAATCCCTACCAGAGGAAAAGCACAGACTTTGAAAGAACGTTGGACATTTTGGAGGAAAACATCTGAGTGTGAAAGAAAAAGAATCTAGTTTCAAATGAGTTGCTTGCTAGGACGGAATCTCATCCTTTCCACTCTGTACAAACAACTAATTTGACAGTTTCTGAAACGTAAAATTCCTACCCTGTATTCATTAGTTTGGACAGGACACAAAGCCAGAATTTTTTCCATGTTTAGAACCCTTTATACTGCTCTTACTGTTGCAGAGCAGCCATCAGGCACTGTACAGCAAGAGGCTGCCCCTACATTAAGAGGGACCTTGGCGTCAGAAGCTTTGCACTGTGGCTTCTTCAGCTTCCATCATGTCTATCATGGAAGTAAGGTCAGAAAAGACATACCAACAGTGTTTCCTTTTACCCTGGAAATCCTTGGCTGAGCTTGCTGCAGCTGGCATAATTTAGAGCAGCCTTCAAGCTGCTGTAACTTATGGCTATGGTTGATATACAGCCAGGCCAGGAATGTAAAGCTGCTGCTATATATGTGTTGTGAACTTAGCTTCTCCAATCATAGGTCTGTGCCACAGGTCACCTGGAATGTTTTTGTCCCCTGATCAGGTGAGCACAAGTCTTAAACTCTACTCCCCAGTGCAGCTACCGGGGTTTATGAGTCCAAAATTTGCTTTTAATTTATATTCTTCAATATTGTCTCCCAATATTTCTGTCATTAACCTGGGAATAGTCCCAGAAAACAAACACATGAAGTAGCAATATACCACACCGTGGCAGCTGTCTTCCAGCCTATCAGGTCAAATGAAACTCACAGCTCTGAGCAGCCCCATATTTGGATTCATTTCATTAAATCCACCCCCATTTCAACCTCAAGCAGACAGGCATTGGCTACCTTATGTTTGTGTGGAACAATGTCAAAGCATAGAGCACCCCGTTAAGAGAATTTGGCTTCTCTCCAAGAATTCCAGAAGATTTATTCACAAGGCCACATTTCTTACAGAAAACTCTAACTCTAGCTGGGCAGCACTCCTGCAGACAGATCAAAATTACTGCAAGGGTGGTCAGCTACTGTATTAAATCATCCAAGTGGCATAAAAGCCTTACTAAATTGCATGTGTTGCACTTCAGAGGTTACTCTTAAAGGAGAAAAAGATGATGTTGCTTGAAGGAAACAATGATTAAACTGGTGTCTGCCCAGCTCTGACTTGCTAGAACTAGTTCCAAGAGCTATGCTGACTTATTTTTTTCCCCACAAGCAGAAGGGTCCCATTTCTAGTTTTCTGGCATCCAGGATTAGCATTAAGCAAAACTACTAGGAAACCCTGACTCTAAGACCTTCCTGTGTTGCTTTTAAGACAGGGAAAAACTCCAAGAAAACATTATTTACTCTTATTGACCTGTCAGAACCCTTAAGGTATGAGATGCAGCACATCTTAACATCCAACTAATTCTTTGGCAATGACATTGGAAAAAGAAACTGTGAATTTGAACTGCTCCAGTATTCAGATTGTTCTTGTATTCTCCACCATTCTTAGCTTTGGGTCCACTCCCCTGCATCCAAGGGCTGTCGCAATTATGGGCATGGCACATTCCACTTCATCCCAGTCCTGATCTCTGCAAGACCACTGAGGTGGAAAACAGGCAGGCTACCAACCTTTGTTAGGTGGTCTGCCTTGTGGTAAAAGCAAGATACCACCTAAGTAGAATGTAGAGGAGAAGAGCCCAAGACAGGTAAAATAGTGTTATGGTGTGCCAGACAACAATTTCTTTATTGCATGTGTTTGTGAACTCCATGCCCAGGATGATGGATGAGAGGTCCTAATGTTCCGGAAGTCTAGAGCTGTGTCAGTACAGGTCAAGTCTGGAAAAACATGCATGTACTGGGAATGACATTCTGGTATAAATCAGAAGTGATGAGGAGAGGCATTCACAAAAATTGTGTGGAGAGGTCTACTCAGGACACTTGAGTGTTTCCAAACAGAAAACTCACAAAGTTCAAATAAAAGGGAAGACACTGTGCAGAAAACACAGTGAAGTCATTGGCAAATCCCTAGCATCATCTGTAGAACTGCGGTGGGGAGGAATACAGAATGAAGAATGCTGCTCTTTGAAAAGGAAAGCACGATAACCCCGCTCTGAACAATACTAAGGCTCAACAGAAAATGTTGATTCCAGGATACTGAAAATTGCAGTGTTTTAGTCACTAACTTACATAGCGGTAGCATCTACATCCACTGTAGATGAAGAATCCATCTAGATGAAGAAGTTCATCTAGAACGCAAACGCACAGAAAATTTGCTGTGCATTGCTGCATGCCATAATTCTCCAAAACAGATACTGAAATACATATTTGTGGTTGTGCATGTATGGAATATGGGTGCGCCTGTAAATTAGCCTTCAGAGCCATCGTCTTTTTAGACCTTGTAGGTCTACCTTAACAGTCATTTTCTGTCTACATGTGTTTAGCTGGGCACATATTTGTGTCATGTTAAGTTTTAACTTGTGTAGATGCAGGTTTGTTGTAGTACTCCCTTAGTCTTTATTCTTCTGCCCCTTTTCTTTCAAGAGGGAAGTTGTTCTCTCTGATCCAGCAGTGGCTAATTCTAACCTAAGTATTTCAACACAGAGCAATGTAAGTCTTTCTCTACATGTGTGCTTCACATGACATTCATGCAATACCATCTGATGGATGCCTACCTGAGAGGACAGGGAGGGGGAGGGGGATGCTGGAGCAGACGCAGAGGTCAGGAAGAAGAGGTTCAGACTGAGGTAATGCTCATGGCTGCAGAGTATTCTGAGGAACTCCAGTCTCATGGAAATCAGGGTGGAGAGTGAATTCAGCTTGTTTGAGAGCTAAAAAAAACAAACAAAAAAAGTGTCACGTGTTGGGTGTGCACTATTTAAATTACCATGTGGTGAAATGTCCTGCTTCCTGAAACAGAAATAGCTGAATAGCCCAGCATACACTAAAATGCTCACTGGTTCCCTGTACCTAACTAGTTTCCATCCATTAGCTGGTCTTTGTTTGGCAGTCGTGGTGTCTTTCCCTGCCCGTGGCTGGCTTACCAACTTCCCAAGAGACAATCAATTGTTTTATTTTTCGTCCCAAAAGAAGAACATACAATGTTTATTCCCTTTCGCATAACACAAAGATTGAAACTAAACAAAACACTGCTAAGTCTGCAGCAAACTCAAAAGTCCTGCTAGGCAACACAGAGCACCAGTGGTCTTGTCATTTCCCTTCACATCAGCAATGACATCAGTGGAGCAGTGCACATACTATAGGAAGCCAGGGTCACAGCCACCTTTTCTCCTACTTACCCACCACTAGCTCACAGAGGGCCTCCCTGTGGTGGAAAAAATACAGCAGGTACACTGGGTCACAAAATAGAAGGAAAACTTTCCCCTTCAAATACAACAAATAACTTAATACCACCCCCCTGCAACTACAATTTATTTTTAATTATTGGAAGCTTGTAAAGCAAGAAGACAGAGATGGATCATTTTGATTGAGCCACCCCCCAGATTTAAACAATGTCCGTCACAGAGGTGCACTGGAAGAGTCAGAGACCAAAAGCTGCTCTGTATGGCCTGCAGGCCTTGCTGCTAAGGGATGTAAAAAAGGGAAGAAAAGTGGCTCCATGGATGCTCTACAGCAGTGCAAGGCATGACATTTCTAAGAGTCTTAACCTCCACTCAATTTCTTTCTGCAGACCACAAATCAAAAGAGGTTTAAAGTCTCTGCATGTGCAATAGGAAATAGGAAATTTACCTTACCCTTTAACACAACCCAGAGAATCTTGATGGATAAATGAATCAAGCAGAACAGAACACTGGACTGGCCACAAGCCAAATGCAATCCCAATCATGCATGGTGCCTACCTGATTACAGTAATGTTTGATGAGATTAAACACAAATCCTCGGTCCATTAAAGAAAGAAGATCATACAGGAAAAACGCCAGACTGATATTAATTTTTTCTGCTTGCTCACTTTCCTTTAAAAAAAGAGGGAAAAAAAAGAACTGTGGATATGCTGTATAAAAATCGTATCAAGGCAGAAGACTTTCTAGAATCATTAAAAAATAGTTTAGGGGACAGCTCCCAGAACCACCTCACGGAACAGCCTAGACAAGATTGTTTGAGTACTCTAATTTATATGATCTTGCTAACTTACACAGAATCACTCCTGTGTATTTTTTCAACTGTTCTAGCTTTCACAGGGGAATATCACAGGATGAGTGAACAAGTTTGTCTATGCAAACCTTTGGGCTGACAACACTAAAATGGAATTTGAGACCTGTTCTGAAGTCACCTATGGGCTGCAATCCTGCATATGCCACTTTTGTTGAACCTTAGATAAAGCTGTTTTAACCACTAAAACATAAAATATTCTTTAAAAACATTGATAAAAATCTGCTCTGGATTGGCTAATGGAATGCCAAGCATTTTGCTTAGAAATTTTAAGTGTAAAACTGATCGTAAAAATATACCAGCAAGATAAATCTGTGGGTTTTACCATTTAGCAGCTAAGCTCTTGTATGTTTACAATTGGCCTGATTACCAGACACGTGCAGCCCCCAAGTAAAAATCACAAAGAGCTTCATGTGCCCTCTAAAATAAGGCTGCAGTTACTTCAAGTGTACTATTTTAAATCATAAAGTCTCCATAGCACATGTAGCTCACCAAGAGGAATTTGTGGAGTTGCCTGAGGGATCTGCACACATTTAATGCTTAGAGCCCTCCAGTGCGTTCACTAAAGACTGACAGAGGAGATGACTGAGAAAATTGTTGCCCCTACTCTTGTCTCTGACTAGTGATAGCAGGTGTGCAGCACCTCAGGGTGGTTATGATTCCATTTTTCATTCTTCAACCTTTTCGTTGCTGTTCCTGTTCAGGAATATCTATATCTATATCTATATCTATATCTATATCTCCATATATCTATATATCTATATATCTATATATATATCCTATGATTTGGAATTTGCACAGCAAAATGTTTTTCTACTGTGAAGAAAAAATTAATTTTCCCCTACTTTACTAGGTAGTCTGAAATATGTCAGAGATACCACTGCAGAATTCCAGGACAATCTAACATGCGCAATCATGTACTGAAACATAGATTATTACTGCTTGGATCTAAAAATCAGATGCATATTACCTACTGCTGCTCTGTACAACTAACCAATAGCCCTAATTCTGCAAACACTGCAGTGGGATTTTCACACATAATCAGGGTCCATACACTCACTCTACCAAATCAAACTGAATTAACAGCCCATAAAAACTTGTGTATTTCTTGTGAGGAAGCCATAAAACGCTAATCTCTTGGCAAAACCTACAGTTCCGTTAAAACATTTTTAATGTAACAAATTTTTATTACACAACATATTTGTAAAAAAAGGCACTGACGCCTTAAGCAAACATTTCTGTGAAAACAACTGCTCTGCATGTGGCTATCACAGAACCACACCAAAGGACTGAGGAAAGGGTAAAGTTTCAGGAACAACTTTTTGGTGGACAGTAATGATCACTTCTGCCATTCCCTGCCCTCAGTTGTCTGGTTTTGGCCCTTTCCCAGTTTCTGCTCCTCAAAAGCACAGCAGGCACACGGAGTGGATCAGGAGACTGAGCCGGTAGAGAAGTGACCCAGTGGGTGAGCTCTCCAGCCTGGTCTGCCCTGTGACAGAGCACACTGCTGGGCTAGCACAGTGCACCTGGCAGCTCTAGGGCATGACAACCAGCTGGTTGGAACAACTGAACAAACAACAGTCCACACAGTGCCTACCTGTGGCCTTCACTTTGTCTGTTGGCCAGTGCGGAGTGACATCGGTGATGCAAGCTGAGAGTATTAACGTTAAAATACAAACTACATTTCATAATCCTTTCAACTTTACTATCCATTATATCAGTGCAACTTGTTCAAATACATCAAAACAAAGAATTTCATGGGATGTAAGGCTTGTTTCTTGTCTTTAAGTTTCATGTGGCCAGTGCCTCTTCAAAGAATCTGGTATTAGATCACTCATGGCTGGATTTTGCAACCCTCAGGAGGAAAACTGCCTTCATATTGCACAGCCCACTGCCATCAGAGAAGTCAAATGTGGAATAAAACACTATGCAGTAGAAATGAGGGTAACAGTAAAGGAGCATAAAAGGAATAAACCCTACTTGGGCTACAGTTTGATGGCCTGGCTAGCCTGGCATAAAGCAGCACTGTCACTGAAAATGGGAGTCCAACCTTTCCTGTCTATGGCAAAGCGGATTCCCTCCCTGTATCCTGCAGTCACACCAAGAAGCAGGCTGTGGAGATGACCTGAATAAAAACGAACAGTCTGCCAGGGGAGCACAAGGCTGCCCCTTGCACAACCACAGCTTTTGCTTAAGTTACACTGTGACTACCACCTCAGTTTTGGGTGAATTCTAGTGACATTGCTGAAGGTGAAATGGGATTAAATACAACTCAGTGTAATGCAGGGTGAGTAGCAAGGACCCACGGTTCTTATTTCATGTAGTTACCTTCTGTGGTTGCGGTTTCACTAAAAGTGCAGCGATCTCTGAAGTAACCACACTAACTATAGTGGTAATATCATCTTTGAAGCGATCAGAGAAGCGGCTTCTTCTTGGGTTGTCTTGCTTCTCTATGTTGTGAACATACTGAGCCATACTCTTTATCTGAAAAACACAAAAAAAAAAAAAAAAAAAAAACCAAAACAAGAAAGAGGTGGGGAGAATACTTAAGGGGCATAAATATGACAGGAAGTAAAACTACTGCTTTAAGATAGTCCATGGGAGTAAGATTCCATACTTATTTTTTCCTGAATGCAATCTCTCTCGTCTTCTCAGAGCCACTGTGGTAAATCCTACACATATTGGCAACGACAACAGAAAGTCTAAGACTGGAACACAGACAGAAACCAATTCCTGCTCACATTCACGCAGCTGGCTACTCTCAGCACCTGAATCAGTACCACCCTCCCTGGGCCCTTGCATCTGCAGCTCTGAAATGCTGCAGTTTGCAACTTTAGCCCTTCATGATGACAGACAGAGAGTGACACCTCTAGAATTAACTCCTACTTCTTGACCTGCTGTTGGGTTGTTTACATGCTGCCAGTGGAAACCAGTATGTTAAAACAACTTCCACTGACATTCGTCACCTCAGGGCTCTGTGACATTGTAAGTTTTGGGAGCCTTGTCACTGCTCCCATGTTGTTAACAAAGTGGAAAACACAGGAACAGGTATTCACAGAAAAGGAAGGCCTCAGTTTGACTGAGGTCTTCAGTCTTCTGCAAGCCTTGGACCATCTTGCATGTAGTTCACACAGGACTTTGCCATCACAGGTTGTCAGTAGAAAATTGGGGAGAATATGGAGAATTCGTTAGCTGTAATTCCATTATCTAGGACCTCCTCTTTTCACACTGGCTTTGAATAACTGAAGAGATCACTATCCATCTAAATCTCTGCTTGGAGTACCTGCCAGATTTCACCATTGACTTGCTATAACATACCACTGTCAAATCTTACCAGGAGCTCAAAGAAGAACCAGGCATACTTGAAGACAGATTCTCTCACCATACCCGTGCTGACCACCATCTGCAGTGCCAGCTCCTCATGGAAATGCTAGACAATAGACACAGAAGGTTGGGAAATGACTTTCCAATCAACTTGCCTTTCAGTTTCAACCTATCCCCAGCGCTCACACCTTCAAAATTCCCCCTCTCCCCTGTGGAAAACTCCCCCACACTGAGTCAGCAGCTGGATGGGGATGTGCGCATATCCCTATAGAATGAGAAGGCAGATTAGACCAAATAGACATATAAGAAATACTGGTGGCAAACAGACGTTAGGACCCGTTTTTCTGTGGATCCAGAACCCCAGATCACCAAACTGGGAAATGCCTTTGGTCTATGGTCAGGCTGTGGTCTGTGTGCATGATAGGGAGCAGTCACATTCCCCATTAAGCACATTCATGCTATCCGTTTCTATTTAGGACATTTGGGTTTTCTGAGAGAAGGCAGAAGTAAGATTTTCTGTGTGAAGGGGAAAGAAGGACACAGCAATAACCACAGGAGAGCTTGTACAGAGGTTTGTAGTTGGAGACAATAAACTTTGCAGTGAGATCTGACCATAAGATAACCAATCCCAACAATCTAAACTTTTAAGAAGCTCACATCTGGACTAAACATTTATTGCAATGTCTACTTTCTACTTCTTACACAAACAATAAAGCTAATAAGATTTCTAAGCCTATTTACATTGAATAGGACACACTAATCCATCCAAGATTCAGACCAGGTATAAATGTTTAGGCTTTTTGGCATAAATCAAATCAATAAGCAGGAGTAAGGAGGGTCTCTTAACTGTAACTTAGATTCTGAACTGTTCATTCCAGAGATACTCCCCTGCTTCTTCATCCAAAGCCACTCCTGCTGATCAATGCCAAACACAAGATACAGCTCTGGAAAATATATACGGTATCTTCTATGTTGTTAAAAAGTTATTTGGGAATACATACGCATGATAGGAAGTAATTTTGTGCTTCTAAAAGCTACAAAAAGGGGCAAAGAAAAACATTTTTTACAGAAGGAAAAGATGGCAAAAATTTCTGAAAGCAGTTTACTGTAACATGTAAAGGCAGGTATCCAAGGGTAAAGTGCAGTGGAAGAAGACAGAGGCCCTAATACCTTGAGAAAGAGAGCAAAGGGAGGATCCAGGCAGGCTGCTACTTGTCTAAATCTGTCCTGGAGAAGAATCTAAAGTCTCTGGAGCAGAAGAAATGTTTGGGTTATATTTACCCACTGGTTCAATATTCCATCACAAAATCCCTGTTCGATAAAACTGGTTGTTATTTTGTTCTCTCTCCCCTCTCCTTGATTAGAAGCGCTAATTACCAGCACTGCCTCAGCAGGCTCCAGGCTCTCTTAATGTGCACTCTCAAGCTCTGTGGCAGGCTACCTTTTTATTGGATGGTCTCGGGCTTGCACAAACGCTTGGCATGTCATTTGTTCCTTCAACACAGAAAGACATCCGACTGCAGCTGTGATCCGTGGGCTGGAAGGCATGGCCAGAAGAAATACGTAAGTTAATACATAACGTAAGCTAATTAACAAAGAAGAAGTCAGCAGCGGTGGTTTTTTTGGAAGGTATGCACAGACGTTCACCTACACAGCTCTTCTCTTTGCTTGTCCCCATTCAGCCCCTCCCCGAGGAGGCCAAAGACCCCTGAAAGCAGCAGCCGCAGCAGCGTGGACGTGCCAACACTGCCGACTCGTGCCCAATTTCGGCACTGCAGCTGTGTTTCGGGCGCGCTACAATTCACCCTTTCCAAGGTAAATGTCCTGTAAATTACGCGGTGGCTCCTCACCCAAAATTAACCAGCATCTGGGAGTCTTCCTTCCATTAAAAGTAATGCAAATTTACCAGGCAGTGAAATGGCAGCAGCTGATTGTAAACTGCTACATTTATCAATGTGATGAAGCTGTAATATCAAACATTTGAATTTTGTATTAATTTGGAAAAAAAAGCGCCTTGAGGTCTGTTTTTTTAGGACACAGTACATTAGAGGAAAATTCATAAAGCTATTAAGTTCAAATCTACATTACTAAAAATTGCTATCGATGAATATCTATGCCCATACAAACAAATCAAACAGACTGGCAAAGCCTGTGCATCTTACTAGTTCTGGTTTAATCTGCTGAAGACAAGCACCCACTCACTTTAACTGGAGAGGCATGTGGTCATTCAGTGGAGGAAAGAATTGAAAATGTTTCTGCAAATAACCTGCTTGAGAAGCAGTACGTTAGATGTGTAACACCCAAAGAAGAGTCTGGAGGGGTATGGTCCAGAACTCAGCAGACATGCTGCTGTGGAGCTCTGCCAGGGCTGTACCTACGAGCAGGCTCCTTGCACAGGCAAAAAATCCTGCTTCTGTCACAAGCAGAGCTTTCCAGCTCTTGCTCAGTAAGGAAAACTAGATTTTGTTTTCCCCAGAGAACTGAGCACAGCCGTCCTCATAAAGCTCTGAGATGCGCCTGGAATGCTGTAGACCAGCAAGCACCAGGTGCCAATCAGGGAAGCAAATTCCTGCTTCTCGGTTGTAATCATCCTCTCACCGGCTTCCGCAAACTGTTAGCAGCATATGTAGCTGTGGATGAGAAAGGCAGAGGAAGTTTGTGTTTCACTGTGTGGTTGAATGAAGTACTTGGAAAGACCCAGCTACAAAATATGCACACAGCATCTGTACTACAGCAGATACAAAATAATGGGGCTGCTATCATGTACAATTCCTACTTTTTTTTTTTTAACAGGAAACTATTTGGCACTAAACAGGTCCTGTGATTTAAAAAAAGAAAAAGTTAAAAGGAGCAAGAATAAATTATCAGTGCATTTTAGGAAAACTATTTCCTTTCTGAGGACTCTTTCAGCCCCTTCAGAAAGGGAAACTGTTCCCAGTATAATCAATAGTAGTCTTCTGTTACATTGACTCTACGCAACCCAGATCAGCCCACGTCACCAGACATGAATAGAACCCAAATGTCAAGAAGCAGTAGAGAGTGAAGCGTGTCAAAAAAGCAAATCCTTCTGTGGAGTGTCTGAGCCTCAAACAAGTGACAGAGTTCTTATGTCTTGCTCTCTTCACTGAAAGGAGACATCAGCATTTAGCAATGGGATTTAATGTGTGCCTACACCAAATCTGATAAACTGCAAATGTTTCTGGTGATACATATAGTGCATTTACAAGCAGAAAATCCATCCCTCAAAGAACAAATCTAGACTATTATATTTCAGCCCATACAGTTCTCCAGATATTCAACTTCGTCGTCTTACCTTGGATGACATGATGTTTTTGACCTCCTCATCAGTAGCAGTTTGTGAGACAGTGATGTCAGGATTGCTGCAGCTTATCACCCGGCTCTGCAGGAGTTTACTCCCAACAGACACGGCGGAAGTGCGTCCAAATGTGTAATAACGAGACTCGGTCAAAATGGCACTGCTGCCTGCACCTGCCCATAGTAAGATGTTTGAACTAAGACTAAAGGACATATATATGAGACAAACATGAGACTCAAGCCAGCTTTGCTCAGTGCTGTTATAGCATCAGCATTTTGAATAGCAGAAAGCTCCTGAAAATCTCACTGCCAACTGCTTCATTAACAAATTACAGAGGCACTGAATGATAAGGTGAAGATGTTTTCTGAGTCAACAGCTCACAGGGTGATTGCGCAAGCAGTAACAAAAGATTAACGGCTACCTGAGCAGCAGCACTATTACAACAGCTTTCTCTTCTTCCCATAAACTTTCTAATTTGCTGCAGATTAAGACAAGATTCACAGGCCTAAATACAAAATACCACCTTCAACACATAAGATATAACAGCATGTTCAAAGTAACCAAGGAAGCAGGAAGCACAGCCACCAGGAATTTCAGTAAATGATTACCTGGTTTTCGCCTTCCCCCATGGACCTTATTTTTCCAGAATAAAGAATTTCCAGGTGTAGGCAAGCTCAGAGATTTTAGCACATCCTAACATCAGCCTAAACGTCCCTCAAGTGGGATCTAAATTAATATTTGAAAGACAAAAGAGCCTACATATCTTTAGCTCCCACAGCACAGCTGTTTGGTGGCAAGTCAGTTAATACATAGCAATTGATGAAATGAATCCTATAGGCTTTAGGACAATGGACAGCAGCAGAATAAAAGAACGGTTCAGGTTGGAAGGGACCTCTGGAGGTCATCTGTTCCAACCCCTGTGTTCAAGCAGGGCCTTAGAGCTGGTTGCCCAGGACCATGTCCAGGTGGCTTTCCAGTATGTCCAAGGTGAGAGCCTCCACGACCTCCCTGGACAACCTGTCACCCTCAAAGGGAAAAAAGTGTTTCCTGATGTTCAGAGGGAACCTCCTGTGTTTCTGTTTGTGCCCACTGCCGCTGGTCCTGTCACTGGGCACCACTGGAAAGAGCCTGGCTCTGTCTTCTTTGCACCCTCCCTTCAGGTCTTTGCACATGTTGAAGATCCTCCCTGTGCCTTCTCTTCTCCATGCTGAACAGTCCCAGATCTCTTGGTCTTTCTTCACCAGAGAGATGCTCCAGTCCCTTTGTCACCTTTGTGGCCCTTAGCTGGTCTCTCTCCATTATATCTATGTCTCTCTTTTACTGAGGAGCCCAGAACTGGACACAGTGCTCCAGGTGTGGCCTCACCAGCACTGAACAGAGGAGAAGCATCACCTCCCTCAACCTGCTGGCCAGCATACAGGATTTTATCCTCTTATGACCTCCACAATGTGTTGGGAGAAATGGGCAGAGCTTGGCCCTGTGCCACTTGGCAGTAAGTTAGTTTGCACGGAAAGCAGTTTTCTGATGTGCAGGCCAGTAAGAAATTGGCATCTTAAGGCCATTTTAATTTCTGAAGGAAATTCCCCTAAAGAAAGCCTCAGTTTAGGAGATGTCTCTTACTTTCATCCTCATGAAGCTATAGCATTGCATATAGCTGTGGAGCCCTCTCACCTTAACCCTCAATCTTAAATGAATGACCAAGAGAGAGATTATGAGGAACAAGTCCATGTTGTTCTTTACAGCACTGAGATTCCTGACCTTCCTCTGAGAAAAATGATGTATCTTAACAGTGCTGTGCTTACACAGTATGCAGTCTGGGTCTGAGAAGTTGTGTTTGCTATTTTGTAGACCAGTTCCCTAAGGCCTTCTCTTGGAAGCATCATGCTCAATAGCACGCATCAAGAAAAAAGAGTATTTTTTCAGCCCTTGCACCAATATTACCTGGCTTGACTACTTCTCTTTGCGGGTCTGGCAGACGAAATACGTAGTAGACGTAAGATGCCAGGAGGCAGTTCCTCCCATGCTGGTCTTTGCTCAGGTCTTTGCTGTTGTGGAGACTGTTCACTATTGCAACCACGGATTCAAAGGCAAACTGTGAGAAGTTGGCTGTGAAACAAAGGCAACAATTAGTCTCAGCACTGAAGGATGCAATATAACTAGGTGAGGGCATGCTTTGTACCAACAACAACTAATCCTACATGCTTTAATTCAGTCCTTAACAAAGTCAGAGCTCTAGACAGCAATTGCTATACGTAACTAGACCTAAGATCTACATAGGCCAACAACCACTCTTCAGTAGACCCACTGACTTCCAACCCAGTCACTGCTACTCCATCACGTCGTGCTACATAAATGCAGACTGTAACTGTTAATTGCCATTTCTAGCAGTCTTCACGCATTTCCTACAAAATACCTACTTGAAGAACACTAAGACTTATTCTTCTCCAGCTGACAGACAAATACAAGCTAGCAGGCTTTTCCACAAATACAGTGGATTACAAGCACTGATTACCAAAATGAGACAGAAAATAAACTACACCATTGTCTCCAAGTACGCCTCCCCTCCAGAGTTAACATATGTGATGGGCAACGGGCAGCCTCTGTGACAGATAAATCTGTGTGCATTACCACACCCTCTCTGTTTTTGTGCTCATGAAATTCTGTCTAAAGATATTCGGGTAGAGGATACACTGCAGCCAATGATGTCAGCTGTAAGGTAAGTGACTCTGGTGGTGTTTTCCTTGCAAAACAACTGAATTCGAAACACAGTCAAACCACAACCCACTTTCTGACCTACATTTCCAGACAAGTAAACTACAATTTAACACACCTCCCACCCAGAGTCTGACAGACTTCAATGTAGGGGAAAAAGGACAGCAGGCAGGGACTCAGTTAAACTGTGCAGTTCAACTGCGTCTTGGGAAGCACAACTCTTTCTGAAGTGGACTATGACAAATACTAAATCTGAGCCTGGATATTTAGCAGTCATTCTCCCCACATCTCTAGGTTGCTTGCACTAACGCTCCAAGGCCATGCACCAGTAAATACCTGTCTGGCCAGCTATGACCATGGGCTGTACGGCCAGCTGGAAAAGTTTATCTAGCACTAAATGTAAAAACAAGACAAGAGGTTCAAGGCGTGAAGAATTCAAACAGATAATGCTGAGTTTCAATTCATGTTCCAGTGTAGCCTCTGTAATCTTCTGGTCCATCAGTCGAATGGGGAATGTCACTTGACTTTCCAGAGAATGGCACAGAGTGAAGAACTTCTCCAGGTGATTGTCCTGCAGATACAGTGCACCCACAGTTAACAAAGTTGATATAGTTTGGACTGTTGCTAGCTAAGCAAAGCCTGATTGTCCCACCTGATGCGGAGAGAGAAAATATTTTTACCCTTCTGGCTTGCAGTGGTGGCTAGCCCTAGAGATCAATCTGTAAAGCAGCTGTCACAGCCTTTATTTTGGTCCTTTTCACCTGGCTTAAATTCAGATTCTGGTTAGATCAGATTAAAACCAGAAAAGTTAAAGCCCTCATTAAAGTGATTGCTTCATTTAATAAAAATACTGTTCCCTCTAATAAAACCCCATCACATTACAGGTCTATAGTCCCTCTGCCACCCACACCTAAGTTCCAGATACATACAAGTTACGTGCCTTACAAGTATGCCCTAATTGTATTTAACAAGCACACTGCAAAGGGGTGATGGACCTGCTTCAGACACAGGTCCTGCAGTTGTTAGGACATAGCTACCAGGGTTAACTACAATGGGATGATGGGTAGGAGACATTGTAAAGCAGCAGAAACAAAATAAAGCTGCTTTGCCTCAAACCAGTATCCCAATAAGATGGGCAAACTCCAATTTCCTATCACATTTAAATGACCAGAATTATAGAGTTCTCATTCAGCACTAAGCTTGAGTTCCCACACCACATGGCATTGATGGCTGAGCTACCTAAAGCATTCTGGCGATATAACCTGTCCCTACAGGTGGGCAGGTGCTATGTCTCTGCAGATATAGGCGTACGGTCTGAGCTAGCCTTGCAGAACAGAACATGCAGGCCGCAGAAACTGACACTATACCCTTCCAGTGTCTTTCAAACACAGCCTAAGCAGACCCTTGCTGAGCTGAGAGGACCCCAGGCTCCCTATTGCTTGATGTGACTGGTTGCTGAGAGTGCTCATTTGTTCACTTACACCAATAGATTACATTTCACCAAAAGATTTAATTCACTGAGGCTATCAGGCTATTTCCATAGCTGTTAGTTGTTTTTAAACCTGTATGGGCTTAAAAATCTCCATTTCATAAACCTCCTCAGTCAGCCTGGACATCCGAATTCTCTGTGAAACGAAACCAAAGCTGTGTGTTGCTTCTGATGTGTGTTACCTGTGTGTGAACAGATGAAACGGCTTGCACTTCAACATTGAAAACACCCTTGTGTCCTTCAACCCACTTAACCGGTGGTGTCTGAGGTGGAACTTTCTGTGATGGAAAAGAAACGTGGGAATCATCAGCTTCCTTTTAATGGTCAAATAAAGTCTGTTTGGGTCTATAGGGTATTCACGCTATTCACTTTATTTTAGATATCCAATTCAGAGCTACACACAGCACCACAGCTAGGCATCTTCTTGTTCTCATAGGCTAGACGGAGAGAAGCTGATGCATTGAACGGGGAAATTTGGAGCACTTCAGCTGGAAGTGAGCACTTCAGCTGAAGCACAGACAGTGTGAATACTCATCTTCTGATAGGGTATTTTTAAGGTTAGAAGTCCCCAGTTAAAGCACAGCCAAAGGCACTCTATAGCAATGTGGTGCAGTTTTAACCCTCTGGACAGTCTCCTACTTGCCATATTTACTCAGAGCGCACAATTTTCTCTCATGTAGCAGCACCTGATTCCACTAGTCCTCCCTCTCCCACACAGCCACAAAAAATGAGCAAGTCATCCTATGGAAGAAAGCAAATTATTGACCTGACACCCTCTAAAAAAATGCTTCCCTGATTAGACAATTTACAAGGATTTGCTTAACTAACTTTAAAAATCACGATATAACAATGTAAAATAATAACACCAGTGACTATGACAACATTTTTCTCCAGAACTTTCCCCTTTTAAAGTACAAAAATGAGACATTGTCTACAAGCAGACAGTAATGTTGGTTTGCAAAACACTTATGCTGTTCTTCTAGATTAGTAAAATATTATCTTTCCAGAATTTTCTTTGTTACCTCAGGAGAGTGAATTGAGTAGTGGAAAGGCAGCTTATCCAATGCAACAGGAAGACAATAATGTCCGGTTTGAAGACGATCATTTAATAGAATTGGCAGCCACTGAAACAAATGAAGAAAAAACACAGCAATATTCATGACTGTAGATGATTAGAGATATTTATCTAATTTGCTATGTACAGTCAACAAAACAACAAATGAGATATCGACCCAAGCTTCTCTGCTCTAACCTATTCAACAGTAATCTCTTTGCATTTTAAATTCTCTGATAGTTACTGTAGAAAAATGTACGACTGCTTTACAAACCATCCCTTTTGAAGAAAACAAACACAGAGCTTTTCATGTGTGACATATATTTTTCTAATAAATCCTATCAGAAGGATTTAGTAGAGTCCATGTTGTTATTTAAACATGATCTTGAATAGCCTGATCCTCAACTTTGAAGCAAATCAACAGAGTTAAAGTTTTGCTAAAGATACATTGAGCATCTTGGTTGTGGTCACGATGAGGATTAAGGACAGAATGACTCATCTTAACTCTGTATTGGTATTTGGACACAATTTTTCTCCTCTTCATGTCCGAAATAGGATGTGCATTTGAGTATCACAGTGCAGTAATATTTTATAATTATGTTAACAGAAGCTTTCAAATTAAGTCCTTATCTGTTGCTCGTGAACTACAAACTAATCTACTTCTTACCAGTCCCACTGACATTGGTGGGACTAAAACTGTCCATAAAAGAAAGCCCATTTGAAAGGGTTCTCAGTACAGGTATCAAAACCAAATACAAAATTCATAGTAGGAACACATGGAAAGCACTTGTCTGGCCCCAAAGCTCAATTGCTGACCACAGCACCAGGACGTTTTCAGATCTGAAGTATTATCATCGTCTATGCTATCCTCTTATTTTAAAATCTCTCCAGTTAAAAGTATCTATTGATAAAGAAAAAGGTCAAAGAGACTATGCTACTATATGTATTTCTCAAGCTAAAACATGCTAGTATCAAAATGAAGATCATGAATGCAAGAGAATTACATTTTACCTTCTAGATTCTTTCTGGTTTTTATTTTTGATGTGGTTAAAAGACATTTTAGAACATAAGTGATATGCCATATAAAACCTAATTGAAAATGTTTTATTAGTTGTTACCTCATGTATGAACATGCTACATAACAGTAATTGTAACTGCATGTGTTTTAGGGTTTTTTTTTCAAGAAACAGAATCTAACAATATTAAGCAATATGCTATAAAGCATTGCTGTTGCAAATATTTAGATGTGTACTTAACTTCAGTTGCATCAGGTGAATTCATCAACTTCAAAGACACTTAACAATGTAAAATTATAGCACAAGGATGTAACATAGCACAGGTTGACTCTGGTTTCTGTGAATTAACATTAAGACCTTCTAGTGCTTTTGACGTATTACCATAACCAGAAAGGGAATATATGACAAAATTCTTGACAAGCAGCATCTCTTTGCATGGGATATAGATACATTTATACGCAAACACACACACAAACACACACACACACACTTATATATCACATGGAACTTACCGAATATCCGAGGAGGGTTTCCACAGATGCTCCTTGCTTTGGCTGGCAGCTGATGTGATAGAACGTGAACAATAGATGGTGTTTCTCTGTGAGTTTTGCTGGCAGCTTAATTTTCACTTCTTCATAAAAGTCAGGGGACCTGTTTAAAAAAAATGCCAAGCACATTTCCAATGCAAGTATGAGACTGAGCAGAAGGCAAATTTGCCAGCAGGCTTTTAGATGCTATGGTTATAAAAACTGTATAAATCCTGAAAATAGCCTCAGAGCTGAGTTAAACAAAGTACATATATATTTATGACAGCTTTTACCTATCTCTATACTTTCAAAAACATTCAATCTTAATTGTGGGTTCCAGCATATTTATTGTGTAAATCCTGATTCTACATTAATGAGAATGTCTCTTCAGCTCTTTCGGATCTGTGAATTCATCGAAGTGAATGCTGTTACAAAGTTGGGCTGCTGCTTCTTGCTCCTGCTCCTTAATCTTCAGATAAGGAATATTCTCAACTAACCTCTGAAAAGCTCCAAACAAGAAAAGCAAGGGTCGCTTATGCAATGGTCACTTCGGCAAATGCATGTAGCAATCCACATTAGATATGACAAATCCACATAAAATGTAAATGTTTAAAATGGATTAATACCAGCATGCCTTGATGAACTATGTAGGCTAAGAATGATGCAAAGAGCTCCGGATTAATACTTCTCATAGTAGCAATACTTACTTATTATGATATGTGACAGCTGTGTGTATTTCTTGCACAAATTCTGGACCTGAAGATTTCCCAAAAATTACCTACATTAAGAATAAAAGAAAGTAACAGTAGTCACGTCTAAAGCATTTAATTGTCATCATCTTGTATAAATTTTAAGACAGTATCTGAAGGCTGAAAATGACTCTTCAATTTTATCTTAGCACGTTGACACAAATGTCTTTTTACCAAACATCTTCTCCACTCACTATTCAGGGCAAAACACAAGGAAAATGGAGCAGAGGTAATTTCCAGAACCACTGACTACCTGACATCACATTCTCCAGTCATGCACTAAAAAGTTAGGAACTGCAGGAACAAAGTTATGGCAATCTTCTTACACACTGTCACATTGCCTTTAACTAAATGCTAAAAAGTTAAATTAGTTAAATTAAAATTATTTTTAGAAGTTTGTTTTTCACTTGGAGCCTGCTCATTTAGGGTGAGATCCATCTCACCTTACCTTAGAGGTCCAAAGTTCCTTTACAATCAGTGAAGAGAAACAGGCATTTTTGGTGCTTGATTTGCTTCCCTCATTTCAGGCACAGCCTCATGGTAAGGTCCTGGAAACCAGTAACTTTAAAGGGAGGCCTGGGAGATGAGCTTTGACACGGACAATCTGTATAGCACAAGTACATCTGTATTGCGACGAAGCTCTCTCACAGCGGAGAGGGCTGCTAGATGAACTGTGACTGTCCTAAGCATTTGTCAAAACCTAATCATAACATGGGCAGAGCTTAAGGAACCCAACAATGCAGTATTACGTAAAAGACCATGTTACATCCGCATGGCACCGCTCCAGCCCTGAGAGAAACACGACTTGGGAAAACACTGTGCTGATGCTGTCATTTCAGCTCCAGAGCTCATGTGGAGTAAGGCTCCGAAGTATGCACTGTGCAGTGTCAGCACGCCGACAAATGCTAGTCAGGTGTCAGTCTTTGCTCCAACATATTCTTGGATTAATGTTCCTCAAAGTACTATTTTCACTCAATTTTTCCCTTTCTAACACATAAAACCACAACAGATTTTATCCCAGTGTCATTCTCAGATAGCCAACTATGCTGAAAATTTCTCAAAAAATTCAGGCTGAGCAGACATCTGGGTTCGAACACTTCAAACTGAACATCTGAAGCTTGGTAAAGCTGAAGAGGGAATCTCATATTGACAAATGTTGGATAACCTGAACACAGACAGTGCTACCTGCTCTGCTAGTAGTGCACACATATGTCCTAATACACCACGTGTTTCAAACATGGAAATATGGAAAACTCTGCCTGCACCGCATGATTGTGCACCTGTTCAGATTCAGGCAATGAAGACACCAACTTCTACCTTCCAGTGTTACCCCTGAATATTTGTATACACATAGTTGTACGAAGGAGTTACACTGGAAGATAGACAACATCATTTTTAAGTGGTCTCTGAAGCTCTGTGAATTTCACCATTCGAGTTTCGAACACACCATTAATTTAATATGATGTCACTCTTCTGAAAACAAGGTGGGAAGATTTGGATAAGAGGAAGTAACAATGCCTCTATTCCAATCTAGTGACAAGTCTTCCCTGTTGTGGGTAAGGACTACAGCCCTGCTTTCTGACGAGAATGCAAAGCTTCACAAGCTCTCTGATGTTAGGCTTGATAAGGCCCCACTAGAAACGGTGGTGATGGGAAGCAAACAATGAATTATCTCTTCAGAGGTTCCTCAGGAAGGCACATAAGTAAAAGTCTGCAAAGAAATCTCAGGATTTATTACCGGCATTGCACAGGACGGGTCTTCACCACACATAAACTGGATCTTGATTGTAATGTTTCTTGCAGAAGCTGGTCGGTTAGCAAAATTCAGCCTTTGAGGGTAAACATAGAGGAGATTTCTGGAAGACAGAAAAGGAGGAATAAAATGCCTAAATGGCAAGCATTCGCATTTCAAAATGAAGTGCACAAACTACCATTTTGCTGAGTCCTCTTCCCGTCCTTCAATTCCACCTAGATAATGAAAGCTTTGCCAGAACTCCATTTCAAAAGTTCACAAGCAAAAGGTGAGCTCTTGTCGTGACACGTAGAACATTGCATGCTTAAGATTTCTCATACAGCAAGCTATGTCTTTGAGAAGGCAGTTTTCCTGTCTCTTTCTTTTTTTTTAAATACGTAATTCCCAGATACAAATGAATGCACATCTTCGCGTGATGTAATGAGAAGCAGGAACCTCTCAGCAAAGCAGCTCCCTTCTCATCTGTGAAGAATCAGAATTTGGAAGGGGTAAGGAATCACTCAGAGGTGATATAAACAAGTAAACCAGCAAGTAACACCAACAACTGAGGTTCATACATTCCTAGTTTATAGCAACAAAATGTTATATATTTCTAGATTATGCAAATCAAAAAGTAGTATCAATGAACCTGAGTAAACACAAACAAGAACATTTGAACTAAAATACTAGAAACTGACATTTTTTAGTAATTAATACGAATAACACTTTTAACATACAGCATGCTGTTTACTAGCTTCTGTACATGGATAGATCACTAAACTTAAAAAGCACCTTTAATTTCGGTGGGGAATTTGGCAGCATAGATGGTCTTCCAAGTTCAAAACCAAACAATTCTCATAGAAGAGTCAAAATTCTAATAGTAAGTTTTTTCCCCAGTGAGTTCTATGGCAAGTCTGAGATTTCAGCTTGACCTGGATTACACATGTTCTGTCATTACAATAAATTCTATTCAATGTCTCATTTTCCCAGCCTGCTATAGGATTCTCACTGTTTGTCCTCTGAGCATAAGGAATAAGACTAGTGTTGGTGGAAGCATGCTGTCTTCCAGTGAGAAACGATGAGAACTACTCATGGGCTTTCAGGCTTTCTTTTAGTCTGTGATAGTCAGAAGTCACAAAATGGCCCTGTCCTTATCACAGATACCTAATCAGCACCACTATCAGCTGAAAATGTGGAGCAGCTCTGGAGAATTTGTCATTAAGTCAGACGGTCCATGTTGCATTTGTTGTATCCCAAAACCTGGAAAACTGTGCTTGATTCTCTTATTGCCATGTGTCACAACAAGACAATACTATTCAGCTACAGAGTCCAAGCTAATCTGCTATGCAACACACACTACATGGGCCATGCCATGCCTTAGCAAACAAACTAGCATCTAACTTGCCTTTCCCCTTGTTCAGAATAGTACTCCTGTCTGCCACTCTAACGCACTTTCCTCCTTACATTCTTACATGCAATTTCTGCTCTGCCAAATTCTCTCCAATATGGTATGAGGAAAAACTAAGTGAAAGAGAGAAATATATTGGTAACCTCCACTGAATTATGCTTGGAGGAATGACATATTAAATGAAGGATATTATCAATATTACATCTGCCAGAGGTGAAGAAATACATGTAGGGGAGGATGCATAATCCAGTCATTGCTTCATTAATCTGCAGCCCAGCAGAAGATGTCACAAATCCATATAATGTCCCTGAGCACTGGATTTTACATTTAGACGTGACTTGAGATGAAAGATATGTAAACTCATAAATGGAGAGCTCTTTGCTGACTACACAACCAAGGAAGCAATACTCCAGCAAATATTGTACCGAAGAGTTAAAGCTTGTGCCACCTACACTCAAGCAGTTTTAGGGAACTTGCTTACATGTGTACTAAAACCATCAGCACTGAGGAAGAACAGAGGAAAATGCTGACTCTGGATATCCTGCAGAGATGAAAGCAATGACTGATTTTTTAAAGCAGGAAGGTAGGGAGATGATGAAAAGACGTTCTTTCTTGCAGGCATGAACTGTAGACCCATCGCTGACCATGGCCTACATGCTACTGCCTGCCAGCATCCGTACCCTTCAAAAGCCTGAGAGGAAGCAATGACAAGGAGCATTTCCACATGGCAGTTAGCAGGGGTGTCAGGGCAACTCATATTGCTGTCTTTTAAATAACAGGACAGCTAGCATGCCCACAAGGACGTGGTGAGCTCCAGGAAGCATTGTGTCTCCCTTGAGGCTCTGCACTGAGCAGAAATATTCAAACAACGTGCCACAGCAATTACTCTTCATTAGTGTGATTAAACTTCTCCTCTCACTCCCCCTACAAAAAGTGTAGGGCTTTAGCTCCAGATATATTCAGATGTGCTTACAAATCAGAAGAGCTATTCAGGAGTCAGTATGGGTCTACAATAGCCACAGCAGAGCACCCAACTTCAATGAGACCAGAATCCCACAGGACAGCAGAGTCCTGGGTGAGGCATGGATCCAGACAGCTTCTCTGGGTTGGAGACTCACTCAGCAGAGGTACAGTAAGATAAGAGGCTATTTCAGCATCAGTTACTTGCTGGCAAAGCTAAGGGTCCACCTTGCTTGACACAGGACAGCATACAGCAATTCTGATTCGAATTTGCTGACCTTCCTACACTTTTATGGGACTTAGCAGTGGTGACCTGATGACTTCCCACAGCTGAAGTAATGCAGACCTATCTTCTGCCAAAATAAAATCTATGCAGAGTTTCAAGTCTGTGACCCCTCTTATGGAATATTCCCGTTCGTAACTATTTGTTGTGCATATGTGTGGCATAATAAAACCCTTCCCCTTGATAAATTACGCAACATGTGAGGCATCAACAAGTGCGTCTCAAACTTCTCATGAATATTAGGCATGCTCACTGATGACTGTGACAAGACTATCCTACATAGCAAAAGCCAATATAGATGCAGATAGTCACAACTGATACAAACCACCAATGTTCTATAGGTGAATAGTGATGGATGGGTTAACATTGCCATTCAATACTTATGGTACTGAAAAAAACCCCCGATACACCCATTAGCTGTAATTTTCAATCTTTGTTGATTCCTCTACACTTCTGTCACGGTGAGTGGGGAATGCTCAGAAAAATGGTTGAAAACTATAATGCAAATCACAAACACATTACCAAATACGGAAACCTGTTCTAGTCAGTGGCTGACTAGAACAAATGGCACAATGACAGAACTTCAACATGTCACATTCAAGAGGATATAAATGTGTCATATATTCTGTATCTTAGTATGGATAACTTGGATAATAGTTTGAATGATTTTTTTTCATGTTGCTGAAGTCAGGAATCATCTAAAAACCAGTGGTCAGACACTCACTAAATTTAGGCTAAGAGCGACTGTCACTCTATTCTGTCCATTAGCATTGGTGTGAAAACCTTAATGAATTTTCTATAAAAGTTGCAGTCCACAGAAAAAAAATGCTGCCAGAAGAGCTGAGTGGAAGGCTGACTCAAAACATCAGATTTCTGCAGATTCAAATCACAAAATTGTCACAAGAAAATATATATATCTAAATTTAAATGTGACCTAGAGCTTAGAGCCAAGTCAGAATAAAATTTTAACATCTTTCTCTCCAGGACTTCTGGTTATTCATTACACATCATTGAACTGACCTATCATTACTTTAAATATCAAATATTGCAAACAAGTAACCAATGACATATCATGTTTGAAAACCCAGACCAAAGGCAAATAACTCAGATTTTGTGAATCATAAAAATCAGCAACAAAATAATTTCTTACCTATCATATTGATCTTCTGGTGTGCAAATGTAGGGAACTTTTTGACCCACAACTGCCTACTTTACATGATGTTTTTCAGAAGTCACTCTTAAAATGGCTTTAAAATTTTGAAATATGAAAATCAAAGGGCTTATACCACCTTCTGATGTCTCTGTCCTCCATGCTTTGCAGTCCTCTACCAAACTAAAGCCACTGTTCCACTGATGACAGCCTCACTCCCCCTTCTGGTTCCAGTATTATTAAATCTTGAGTGGCAGTGTTATTAAAGTGGATAAAATCAGTGGATATCCACCAGGTATCAACTGTTGCAACGTCAAGACACTCTAATAACAAGCTGGTAGGTCACACATCAGGCATTGTCTAGTTGTCCAAATGAAATATGAAAAGCTGAAGAATGGAAGATAGTGACTATAACATAGAGCTATATTTTATACACCCCTTTGCCATCCCAGGACCTGTGACTCCTCCAGCTATGTAAGCAGTGGTAAAGCTCCATCCCAAAATACCCACTGAACTCCATTCACTCAGGGTGAAAACTCTGACATGCCAGATTTTCACACATAACAGTGAAAGTATCTGAAATATGATGACACAGCTGAGAATTGTGGTAAGATAATTTTTGTCTGATATATATAATTAATAAAAGACACAGTGAAGGGGTGCTAGTACATACAAGAGTATACCTTATCTTCCCAAAATACTGATAACGTGCCTCCCTGAAGTCACGTGTGTTAGACAATGTGAGGTAATATTTCATATTCACCAGCATCTTCTTGTTTCCACAGACACCGTGCACTTCCAAAATTTCAGCTGAAAATGCTTAAAAACCTTAGTGAATAGCACAGGATTCAGAAGCATTCAAGATCTATGCAGCTAGAAGTCAACAGGTGGAACTTGGATTTGTTTTAATTGTCTCACTGATGCCTTTACACACTCCCCCATCCTGACCTGGTAGGCTGGAGGCTACACTGACAAACAACACTGCTCTTCAGTGATGCCTCTTCTCTATACATATCAAAGTAACCATTTATCAAGCAAGAGGATTAAAAAAAAAAAAATTATCCAGTGCAAAAACTGCTGCGCTTTCTCTTCAAGTGCCCTGCAGACCTAAGCGAAAGAAGTCACCTGTTCTTACCAAATGGGAAGCTACCTACTACTACCAGTAATCCAGCACTATTAACAACTCTTGAATGAAGTTACTTGAGCATTTTCATTTCAATGAAAAGCAGACAAATGGTTTGAAGGAGAAAGCACAGTGTCCTGAGGTTAGCAAAAAGATCTGCAGGCTTGGAAAGGAATGTTTTGGTTCTAAGCATCCTGGTT